TGGTGGGGCTATGGTGTCAGACACTGTTGGGGCTATGGTGCCAGACACTGTTGGGGCTATGGTGTCAGACACTGATGGGGCTATGGTGTCAGACAGAGTGTGTCTGTGTGCGTTTGTATCTCTGTGGGCTCATCACTGACCTGCAGTGCATTGTTCTCCAGCAGGAAGTGCGCTGTCTCCATGTAGATGGAGGTGTTGGGCCTGAGAGGGGTACACAGGGGTTGGGGGATGCTGGGATTTTGGCCAGGAGTCACAGCTCTGATGCCCTGGATGCTTTGGGTCTTCTCTCCAACTCCTTCTACACAGATACAAGAAATGACATCATGGGCCTTGTGACATCATAAGCATATAACCCAGCCCACCCTAAACCTGCCCTCCTCACCAGCTGTGGTGGTGGAGGAGTCACATGACCCTGAGTCTGGCTCCTCCTGCACCTTGGCCCCAAACTCCCGCTCGGCTGGTCTGGTTCCAGCCACAGCCGCCCTCAGCTGTGTATTTCCCTCCAGAAAGGCCATCTCAGCTTGGATGGTGTCCTCCCGTCCTTCGTAGAACAGGCCTGGCCCAAGTTACCGATTCATAACAGTCATATGCAATGGTCATGTTCACGTAAGTGATAAAGCAATGAATTCTGTTTAATGTTGTCATGTAAATATATTAACATCATAAATCAGTTTGAAATACTGAGAACTAATTAAGTCATTTTTTTATGTTATGATAATGATGCTAATGAAGACATTTTTTACCATAATATGTTTCATAACCCTGTGCTAGAAAATAATTATTATTCCATTTTGGGAAATTATCTTTTCTCCTCTCTCTACCCCATCTTTCTCTCCGTGAGAGACACAGGTGAGACTGAGGGTGGGGGTCACAATGCAGGGTCAGCCAGAATGCAACACCCCTGGAGCTGGGGGTTAAGGGCCACGCTCAAGGGCTCACAGACATGTGACTATTTTGCTGAGGCCAGGGCTCGAACCAGTAACCTTCCGATCACAGGAATAGAGGCTGAGCTCACGAAGCCAAACACTGTCCAATTGGAGGATGGATGGATGGATAGATAGGTAGATAGATAGATAGATAGATAGATTGATTGATTGGTTGATTGATTGATTGATTGTGCCCTTGTAGCCATGCCAACAGACAACCTCACCGGATAGAGTCCAGGCCACCACGCTGGTAGGATCCACACACGTCGCGCCCTCCAGGTAGGTCTGTGCTTCCTCGGTGCGGCCTGCCATCTCTGCCAGGATCCCACACATCAGCAGGCTGCAGGCACGACGAGAACCACAGAGACAGCATCCCTGCTTTTAACAGCTTTTAACGGATCATTTGACATATTATTCAATTAGGCAGATCAATGGAGAATCTGTCTTGGAGAGACAATGTGCTTCGGCATCTGAAGTCATTGACTCGTCCTCTACGCCGCACCTGGGAAGGTGCACTGGACTGATGGACACTGCTTCTCGAAAGCATTCCTCTGCTTTCAAGTAGTCTCTGGTCAACATGTGGAACACTCCATAGTCAAACCAGTGCTCAGGGTTCCTCTGGTCTCGGGCCAGACGCTGAGTCCATTGAGAAAGCCATAAAGAAAAAACAGGAAACAACTGAAGGTCACAGGGAATCGTGGCCATGTTTTACACAGGTGATTATGGGTGCAATTAAAAAGGTCTATTGATGGGAGCCAGTTATAATTATGAGTTAGGAATATTTGGGGATCTCCTGCTCCGACATACCACTAGATCTGACACCAAGTTTTACTTAAAAGCAACCATTAGATATATTTGGACACGGAAAGTAGGTAACGTGATTTGGGATGATAATTACTGTAGAGTACCAGCAGAAAATGGCCTGTGAGTCTGGTACCTCTTGGTAGAAGGTTGCCGCTAGTTGGTAGTCCTGGTTTAGCTGGGCTTCTCGAGCGAAATGTCTGAGCTGAGTGCAGTCTACCTGGGAGGGAGGCCGGTCATCCTGGGGGTCCGCCAAGAAAGTCTGTGTGGAAGAGGAGACAGGAGAACAGGCACAGGAGAAGGGAGGACATGACAGAGGGGGTCACATGCAAAGAAGAAGGAATGGGAGAAGATGACAAAATGTCAGTGAGAAACGAGAGAGGAAAAGAGACCTAGCACCTCATCACGATGACCTGCTGGAGGTGAGAGCAGAGATGCAAGGTCATCGGGGCTGAGCTGGGCATGCTCTGTAGTGCCGCGCGGCCGTGAATGGCTGACCTTGTTGAGCGCAACGTGCATCTCGTCCACCAAGAAAACGTAGAGCTGGCTCAAGAAGGCCTGCAGCCGCTCCTGGTCCCTGAAGGGCTCCGTACACAGCATCTTCTCTCTTACGATCCGCACCACGGAGTGCTGTTCACACACAGGCGTGCACATGCACACACACGCATACAGATACATGCACCATAAGCACAAAGCATTCTGGGAAATGACAGAAATACTGACCTAATGCTGAGCGAAAGTCACACACAGTCAACCACAGACCATAAACAGACCATTTGCGACGTCACATTGCAGCTGTTAAATGGAATCACAGCTCTGCACTGTGACATCACGGTCCCTCACCTTCAGCTGCTCCTTGAAGGCAAAGTACTTCCCCGAGTAGTTGAGCTCCCCAATGAGCTGAGTCTTCCGCTCTTCCTGGGCAGTTGGGTCCAGCTGGTGAGACCCAGATGCCAACGCATGGCCAAATAGCTGCTGGTACTGCTCCAGAAGGTGAGCCGCCACGCTGGCAACCTGGTCCTGGTACTGCTGCACTGCCTAGTGCATATGGAGCAGATACCAGTGTGTTCTGCTGCCATCTCCCTCCAATGCCTTCTCTGTTGCTAACAATCGGTCAAAGACTCTAAAGAGGAGAAGTGCTACATAAAGAAGAGGGGGCTTTTTGATAGTTGTAAAGAGCAGAGGTGGAAAGTTCGGGTCCAGAAAGTTGAAATCCAGATTTTGTTTTAACCAACCAGACCATAAAGAGTCACAGTCGCAGAGGACTCAACTGGTTGGTTGAAACAAAACCTTGGTCTGGATTTTAATTTTCTGGACCTGAACTAGTCTCCTTTGATAAAGAGTAAGGGGGTGTGCGATTGGGTGTGTTATACCCTCTCTGCCCCAGCTGGTCTGCGGGGGGCCAATGGCCTGGCTGCAATCAGCTCCCTCACTCTGTAAGAGACACACAGGAAACAACCCCAGGCTTGTGATAAATGCATTTCCATGGTTTTTTTCTGCTCTTCATAACCATGACGTCATCATTTATCGAACATCAGCCATCTCCATATTACCTTTTGGCCAGTTCTTCAGGAGGTCTCTTTGGAACCAGGGGTTTTTCCAGAGCAATTTCAATCACAATATAGGTTCTGGCCTCAGTGTACATCTAGGACCCATAAGGAGAGTGTTGTCAAGGTATGCTCAACAGCGCCCTCTGTCTGTGTTACTAAGCCATACCTCATGCAAACAGGGTAAAGCAAAGTGCTGGACAAACAGCAAGGTCCTTATTTTAGATCATATCGTGTTCCAAATAATGGGTATTACAGGTGATACTGCACGTGCACATACACAAATACAAGCCCACCTGACCCTCGATGTTCTCAGGCGTATCCACATCTGTAGAAATCTCTGGCAGCAGTGACTTTTCCTGAGTCCCTGGCTAACAGACACAGTGATGTGGGAAACTGCTCTCTGTCCTCTCAAGAAAAGGATTGCGAAAGTCTTCTTGTTGGAACAAAGACAAATAATCATTTACTGGTTCTGTATGCGGATAATCCAGCAAGCATTCTGGCTGTCACTGGCTTTACTCAGACACTAGGGACAGAGGTAGCCTCCATGCTCTTAATCTCTCTTAAGTACAGGAGTTTTCAACAAGCAAAAGGGCAGGTAATCGAAAAAGATTATTCAGCATTGGTAATGGAGTCACTGATCAAACACAATTACAGCTGAATGATTCAACGAGCTGACAGGAACTTGGACACAGGTAGGGCAGAAGACTCTTCCTGATGAGAGAGATCCTGCTGACAGAAGAGAAGCTTTCGATTCAAAACATCGATGATGAGATTACAGTGGCTGTAATCAATACCTTATACCGGTTTGGACGATATAGAAGAGGGGACTTATGGGGCAGCTCAGGGGAGTTTTACTTACACAAAAATGTTCTGAGGGCAGAACGAAGAATGATTGGTTCAGAGAGATAACTAATCAGATTGTAGAGGAGGTGGGTCCAAGCAACTGGAGTAGGCAGGATCAACCAATCAGATGTCTTGGTCCCGCCTCCTCTAGATGCTTGGACCCACCTCCTCTACAATCTGATGGGTTATCTCTCTGAACCAACCATTTTTCCCTGTGCCTTCAGAATATTTTAGTGTAAGTAAAACTCCCTCAAGCTGTGGGGTATATCCTCACCTTTGCATTGCATGCCTTTGACACCACAGCCCTCACCTTCTTAGTGGCCTCCTTGGGCCCTTTTGCTCCCTTGTCTAAAGTCTTGCCGGAGGCTGTCCTGCACGGCGCAGACCCCACGGAGGGGGGGGCCCGGCCTACACCCTGCTGCCGCAGCTGGCGCACGCCCTCCCGCAGGATGCTGGTGCTGCGCTTAGTCTGGGGCATCGGGTGTGACATCATCAGTGCAACCAGGCCAAGAGTCCCCCATCAAATTGTTAAGGTATTTTAAAACTATTCTTATTTTTGCATTTTTTATACTGGATGGCATCAGACTGAACCTAAACAAATAACATAGTATAATGTCTGTCGGTGCTGATCACAGCACGGCACCCAGGGGCCCCTTTCACACATTTAAATCGGCTTTTACTATCGGCTTTTGTCTGATCTGATTCTTCAGTCTTTCTAAATATTTGATAGTGATACTTAAAAACTTCAGCTTCTGGTCACAGATACATTATCTGACTCTCCAGTGGAATCTCTCTTTTCTGACATAATTTGTGCAGAAATCATCGTTCCTCTAATGAAGTCACACCACCCAGATCCGGATGTAGCAAACCACCCCCAGGTCGTGTCGCTGCCCCCACCCTCCACCCCCGACATGAGGGACGCAGTGGCAGGTGTTTGTAATAGTCGACATAATATCGGCTCCAGTACTGACGCGGCTGAATGTTCCGGAAATCGCGAGAGCCGCACAGATGCCAAACTAAAACAGTGGATGGGCTGCATGCAGCAGGATCCTAGCCGGTCTCACCTTATCCTGCATGTCTGCCTCATAAAACGGGTGCAATGAGTAAGCGCCATGAATGCGCCTCACACCGGGGTACAGCAGGGGGGCCAAGTCCACATACACCACCCCATGGAAGGAGAGCTGGGCCTCGTCCTCCACCTGCTGTGCACACACACACACACACACACACACAGACAGACAGACACACAGACACACACAAACAGACACACAGACACACACAAACAGACAGACACACACCCAGACACACACACACACAGACACACACACAGACAGACACATACATACACACAGACACACACACACAGACACACACACACACACACTCTTAATCTCCATTAGCAATTGCTTTCTGTAGATATTGACATTACCAGATTTTATATCTCCCAACCCCTTCCTTAATGAATAACACGCTACAAGTGTTGGCACTTTTTCTAAACAAAAAAATCTGAGTAAATAAAAACACATCTGTTTTATCTTTTACTCAAAAGAATTCAGCAGATGTTCCCACAAAGACAGTAAAACTTAAACATAAACGCCCCAGGTGTAGGTGTCTATACAGACAGCGTGTTGGGGGCGTCTTAGTCATGTGAGCCCCTTCAAAGAAGATAATATGAGCAATGAAGGGAATCTCATGGCGTCTCACCGCTTTGTCCCTGGCCGGCTTTCCCCCCCTCGAGAGCCCCGTCTGAGGCACCCGCCCGATCTCTACTGGCCACAGCCGGCAGTGCGTGATCCGTCGGGTTAGGCTGCGTACGGGAGGCAAGGAAAGACACGGGACGGGAGCCTCTGAGTATCGGGAACCCGAGAAGCACGGAGCAAGAAAAACACCAGAGTCTGGCAGCTTGATGACATACTGTGCAGGCTGGGGGGGGACCTGAGTGGCCACACAGCGTTTCATTTCTGCAGCACATCATCCTGGATATAGAGGTCTGTATATGTGTGACATCCTGGTCTGTGACATTGCTGGTCTGTATATGTGTGACATCCTGGTCTGTGACATTGCTGGTCTGTATATGTGTGACATCCTGGTCTGTGACATTGCTGGTCTGTATATGTGTGACATCCTGGTCTGTGACATTGCTGGTCTGTATATGTGTATATGTGTGACATCCCACCTGAGACGCAGGGAGGTCTAAATTGCTGAGTTGGGGGGTGTTAAAATTTGCCTATGAGTTTTCCTGCTGCTACATAGCGGAATGACAGATTTCTGGGACATTTACATCATTTACGGGTGTTAGGGAGCTGCTATCGATTTGCGGGAGACTGCCGGACCATCCGGGAGGGGTGGCAGATCTGGAATGTTCATGTTTACATCAAGGAATCCCTGCCTCCCATCGTCATACATGCTCACAGAAGGGCTGCTTTCGGTGGACTGGGCTGATTTCTGGGTCCTGGTCCCTGGTCCCGAGGGCGTACCCATATGTAGTGACTCTGAGTTCTCATGAACAGAGACCCATCCGGGGCTCTTTATGGCCCAGGCTGACGTTAGACAGTCATGAAGCATGTGCTCAGTAGCCGAGGGACCATATCCTAAGTGGCAGCCCAGGGCCTGGAGGCTCGGGGTACGAGCATGTTATCTATCTCACCAGGCCGCCGTCTCGGCATCCAGGAAACAACGTCTCTCTGTGTCCCAGCACACTCTCTTCCTGTCGACCTCTGCTTCGGTGCGGAACTCTCTGTCCTGGGACACGTGTGTGCAGGGCAATTAAAGCAAATTCCACACAAACAGGTTCCCATACACGCATGTTATGCCGCATTTTATGTAACAGCAGCATTCCGTCTTTTTCTTTAAGCTGTTGCTGTAAAGCCCGGTATTCATAGAGCCGCGAGCCAGTAATAAACAGTCCAGTCAGAAGCTCCACACATGAGTTTGACATTTGTGCTTCAGTGGATCATGGTGTATGAAGTTATTTAAGCTGATCCCAGCCTGAGGCCCAGTGCCCTCCCAGTGTTCTCCCAGTGCCCTCCCAGTATTCTCCCAGTGTCCTCCCAGTGTTCTCCCAGTGCCCTCCCAGTGTTCTCCCAGTGCCCTCCCAGTATTCTCCCAGTACCCTCTCAGTGTTCTCCCAGTGTTCAGCCAGTGCCCTCCCGGTATTCTCCCAGTGCCCTCTCAGTGTTCTCAAAGAGTTCTCCCAGGGTTCTGCTAGTACCTTCCCAATGTCCTCCCAGTGTTCTCCCAGTGTTATGCCAGAGTTCTCCCGGTGCCCTCCCAGTGTTCCCTACCTCCATTCCAGTCAGCTCCCCACTCTCCATTTCAATGGGGTCCGCCTCTATAAAAGCACCAGGTATACAATCTGCACCGGGGGCCAGGAGGGGACCCAGGGGCCACTTCTTGGGTCGAGGCAGCGGCTCTTTCTCCCCTCCCGTTTTCAGCAATCCTTTGGAAAGCAGGAGCACCTGTTCCTTCTGTAGAAGTGAAAAGGCTCCGAATTAAATGGATACTGACTGGCAGGATGAGTTTCACATTGAAGATATTCTGTGGTTTCCGAGAGGAGCACTTCAGCCACAAGGGACAGAGCAAATCCCGTCGTCTCACCTCAGCAGACAGAGGCACCTGGAAGCCAACAACATAACTGGCTGGGGCTGCGGGACTCCAGACGTCAGGGACGGCGTAGGCGGCCTCCACCAGCACCCGGAGCAGATTGGAGCTGGAAAGCTGGGCGTCAGAGAGCAGCGGCTCTGTGGCACAGATGGTCACATCCAGGGAGGGCTGGGTGCCAGGTGACAGGGACAAACGTGTCACGCGAGCATTAAAGCGGCAACCTGCCTCTCTCAATCACACTCATTCACGCTCATAAATACACTCTGTCATCGTCAGTCTGTCACATGTGTGCATATACACACACAGCTCTCACCATATTCACCTGTTTCTATCAAGCAGGCACAGACACACACACACGAATTTGCCTTGTCATTGGCTGCCTGTGTCACATGCAGAAAATGCAGCCATTAAAAATGTGAAACCGCTACCGCTGGGGAAATGCAAAAATATGGATTACGGGAGGTAATTCTCACAAGGTCTTTTTAAAAATGCACAAAACAAGACATGTAGACGCAATTGAACACAATTGAAAATCATAATAGGTGTGTAAAAGATGACCTGAATGTACATGGCTCCTTCATGCACATTACGTGGCATTCAGACTTAATGAGATCAATTGTAGGGTTGTCCTATTTGCACCTTGCTGTTGTCTCCTTGAGAAGCTGACTCTGCGGGTGATCCTGGGGTGGGGTGCAGCACCACCGTGGAGGTGAAGGAGCGCTGACCTAGGAGATCCAGAGTCAGAGGACAAATGTCATGGACAAGCAGTACTACTTTAGTATCCGGTTTTGCCAGTTGGTAGACAGAGGTGGAAATTTCAAGTCCAGAAAGTAAAAATTTAGACCAAGTTTTAATTTCAACCAACCAGTTGACTATAAAGAGTCACATTCACAGAGTCCTGAACCGGCTGATTGAAACAAAATCTTGGTCTGGATTTGTATTTTCTGAACCTGAACTTTCCACCTCAGTTGGTAGATGATTCTGTTCCAGCCTCACCGTGGAGGAGGGGCAGCAGATCCACCACACCTTGGCCCAGGACAGTGGTCTTCTCTTCCTTCTGCTTCTTTTGCTCCTTTGGAAGGATCTCAACAGCAGTCACTGGACAAAGGCATCAAGACTTAAACACCATAACAACCCAAAATGTTGACATTCAACCAAGTTTTTTTTTAATCGCGATATATACCGGCATATTTCGTTACTTATATGCAACATTAAATTTTTTAAGACCCCTGAAAATATTGAATGTAATACTCACAGATGACAGGTTTGTGCGCAAGGTCATCCAGTGTATTGGTCTCACCAAAGCAGTCAAAACTACACGTGAAATTATATTCCAAGGTCAGGTCTGCAGATGCATTCAGTTTCTGGGATTCTCCGAGCATTATGCTATTGAACTCAGCACGAACAAAATTAAGAGCAGATTCTCCTTTGTTGACTCCCTGTAAGGTTTAAGTAAATAAATGTTTATTTATTTAGCAAGTAATTTTTACAAACAAAATGAATTACAATTTTACTATACTGTTACATAGCCAAAATGACATTTACGTAGATTGAAATATATGTCTCATTATACAGTATGACATATCGTATATAATAAGTTTCATTTGGCAAAGAAGCCAATATTTTAGCTCACCATGTTTTTTCCACGCAGTACAGTTATTTGTATGGGCACTGGCTTCTCCCCTGCCCCTTGATCCATCTTAGATTGTTATCTAATGTTATATTGATTTATTTAAGTGTCTTTTTTATAGCTGAAGCGAACACGATTCAGCGCGTGAGCGTCAGAGCGTCCCTCTGTCGTCAAGGCAACACAGCTACTACATATTTCATAAAACATTTACTGCTATTATTAAATCTTTTTTGTACGGTCTATGCTCAGATAGATTAGAAGTAGTTAACTATGTAGGAAGTAAGTATATATTTAAAAATGGTTTATGTAGTCTAGCAAAAAATTAGCTTGCTGCGTGCTAGTTAGTTTAGAATTTCACCAGGGCCTGTCAGCTGCATATGACGATTAAAACAAAGATCAGTGTGCAAGTAAGTATAATTTTCACATTGTCATCCAGTGTATATTATTTTAATACAGTGATTGTGTATTATTACTTCGGCGTCGACCTTTACTTAATCATCCTGATGATGTTATTTTTTGTTTTGTTTTATAGGACCTTACACGTCCACTTCCGGGAGTTGTAGCGGGTGTTTAGAATGTCGCTTTTGCGGCATGTCAGCCCTTCAGTCGAGCATGTTACGCTCACAGCGGTAAGCGAAACGTGTTATTTAATGCCGTATGTCCGCTGTTTAATTTTGTCTGAGTATGCAGCTTTTTATTGTGCTTGTTAGTTTTGTACTTGTAACTTTTACATTGCTATATACAGTGCAGTGGACCTTGCTACCGAGTATTGCAAGGAGGAGGAAGCCAAGATTAACGCGAGCATCCGGCGCTGTCGGGAGATACTGCGCTGTCTGTAAGTCATGGCTGTCCCTTCACATCTGTGACTGTCATGTAATGTGCTGCGTTTCATTTTTATAGCGCTCTTTTTCGAATCATTGGCAAAAGTCATAGATCGCGGACTGTAATACATTATACATGATCCTGCGTGCGGTCCTGTAGGAGAAGCCCGCAGAGGATTTCTGCCGAAGAAGACGCGCTGGCCGCTGGAGTAAAGGAAGGTATGCAGCCGCTTAAAAGGCGATTGCTTCATCTAGATTAATATCTAAAATAGGACAGTGATGTATGTGCAACTTGTTGACTTCAGCTTCCGTTCTTTCCTTTCCTCTTGTATTTGTTTGATTTACTTGCAGCTGTACAGTAGATGGCAGTGTTTTCAGCGAACGCATTACGTATGCGCTGCATAAGTGCTACAGTATTTCACAGGAATTATTCGCCGTTTATTTGTGTGTACTGTACTTTTTTAAGGCTTGACATAATTTGAAATGCAGGAAATGGAAAGGTTGTTCAGCTTTCAGAAAAATGCAGGAAAAAGAGACATATTTGACATTTGTACGTGTGTGTGGCTGTGCAGACCCCGCCGTACCCCCGGAGGAACTGGAGGAGGTTCGGCTGCTGGAGGGGGCGCTGGCCAGAGCACTGCGCATCCGTGGTGCTTTGGGGGGCTCTAAGTGCACAGCAACTGCCGATCCAGAGGGCAGAGACGGGAATCAAACAACTACCACTAACCACATGATCGGCTCACTGGCCCCTAAATCCACCTCCAAGCCCTTAGCCAATTACAGGGAAGCACAGAAGGCTCCAGTTTCTCGGCTCAGAGGGGGGCACTCGGGCGGCTGTGCCGCAGCAGGGGGGAGGCCTCCAGCCAGGCCTGGTCCCGCCGCCCAGACCCGAGTGAGAACGGCGCACAGCTTGAGAAAAGTCAAGCACCCCCCCACAGCGTCCGGCTTGGGATGTCAGCGCCGTGCGGAGCCGGTCTCCCGGCCACCGGAAGAGAAGGGCACAGCCGTGACCTCCGGACAGCGCCGTGGCGGGGGCTGTGTGCCTGAGAGAGAGCAGACGGGAGCGGGAGGCGTGGCTGCAGGAGATGCTGACTCTCGGGCTGCTGACGATGGGTATGGTGCACTTTTGTGGCATGTGGGCGAACAGTCGCGTGGCTTTGTGGTGTTTGAGATTACACAGCAGCCTGTGTGTTCTTGGCAGGGCGCCGTCCGAGTTCCTCTCTGCCTGGAGAACGCAGAGCGCCAAACAGGACAGGTGAGTGCGTTCATCCTGCCATTGTCACTGGTCAATGTGGCAAATGTTCTGATCAGTGAGCCAATCGGTTACAGTGTTTTGCCATAGCATTTTTTTGTATAAAGTGCCAGTGTATCTTTGTAGTAATTTCTGATTTGTTTACCCCTCAGTTTTTCATGGCTCTGCTTTATGCCTGTGGGTAGCTATTTAGCTCTTGGTGTTAGACAAATAATTATAAAATAATTATCAAGCGCTGCGTAGTGGCTCAGTAGTTAAGCGCTGTTGCTTTTCAACTCACTAGCTGATCTGGAGCCTGTATCATGAAGCCAGATAATCCGTTGGGATTTTAAGGTACCCCAGTTTAAATGGACTTTATGATGGATTAGCCCAGATTACCTTAAATCTGACAAGTTATCTGGCTAAGCAAGAAATCCTGCTTCATGGTCCAGACCCCTGCTCATGATCTGTATGTGTGAAGCTTGCATGTTGTTCTCAGGTTGAAGGAGTTTTCTCCAGATACTCTGGTTTGATCCTGCAACTCAAAAGATATGCAGTTCAGTGAACTGGTAGCTGTGAATTTCCGTCTGTCCGTCCGTCTGACTGACTGAGCGACTGAGCCTTGAGACTGACATCCATCCAGGCTGTGTTGTCACCTTGAGTCCTGAGCTGCCTGAGATAAGGTCCACTCTCTCCACCTCCTTAGCCAGGATTAATGATTGGAAGATGCACGAATGGATGCATATCAGAGGTCCACACACTCGTATTTAAATGACAGGCATTTCTGCACCTACAGATCTTTAACAAACAGTGTTTAACTGTAAAACAAATGGGCCATTTCTGGGGATATGGAAGTAATTTTGAATTGAACTTTGAGTGCTTTGGTTGCATACTGGATGAGGAAAAAATCTCTTCAGATAGCTCTCCAAACTTGGCACTCCTGGATTTTGCGGTATCATCTCAGTCAGTTTTCAAACTCCATTTTTCAAGTGGAGCTCTTGTGGATGGCTTTTTTCAGGTCGGTGCACAGGAGATCTGTACGACTGCGGTCCAGAATCAGTCAGCCATTCCACAACGAAAGTCTTCCTTTTTAATCAGTTCCTCGGTTGAATTATCCCCAAACAATTATTTTGCTGAAAACTGAAATTCTTCTTTAATTTCCACCGTCTGGCTGTGGAAAGCAGCTTTTGTACCAGTATATCTCAATATTTGTTAATTTTCCCCTCTATCCTGACCGAAGCCCCTGCCCCAGCAGAAGACGAATGTCCACATAGCATGAGGCTGCCAGCGTCGTGACTGGCAGTGGGTGCTGTTTTTTTGGGTGATGCGTCGCGTTGGCCTTGTACCAAACTCATTTTTTAGAATCAAGGCCAAGACATTGTACTTCAGACTCATCATACCAACATATTTTCCAAGATTCTTTCCAAGATGGTTTTGCGATATTGGCTGTAAAATTTATATTCTTTATATGGCCTGGGCTGTAGTCTTTTGCACCAAATGGCTTGAGTCCCTACCACACAGCCCAGTGTTGTGGAGGATACACAAACTGGTTATATAACTTGGGGGGGGGGGGGGGGCAGTCTCTGCTTTTTTTTTTGTGTCCTGCCGCCTTATTTTTGCAATACCCCAGAGGAGCCACATTTCTTAATGATGACTTTCACATTTTGCAGTATTTGTGATTCCTTTTTGGAAATTCTTCAATATGCTTCCCCTGACCTGTACAGTCATGTGCTGTGTAGCGATGTTTCGGTCAGCGGACGGCCTGCGCATACGACGGCGGTCCTATAAGATTTTAACGCATCTGAAAAACTCCTAGCGCCTAGTGACGTCGTAGCACAATGTGTTACTCGCATGTTTGTGGTGATGCTGGTGTAAACGAACCGTCGTATAAAAGTATAGCACATACAGTTATGTACAGTGCATAACTGTTTATCATCATATTAGTCTTATGTCACTGGTTTATGCATTTGGTATATTGTTATTTTAGAGCATACTCTTTCTATGTGTAAGAAAATTTGTTGTGACACACTACCAAGTTATTGTGTAAGTACAGTCGATGATGTTCACACAACAACCAAATTGCCTAGCAACGCATTTCTCAGAACGTATCCCTGCCATTAAGTGATGCATGACTGTACCTTTAAATAGAAAAATCACATAGATTTTTATCTGTCTGCTCCTTGTGGGACCGTGTTTACCTCTGTGCTATGCAGCAAAGGGTTCTGAATCAGCTGATTATGTATATGGATAATAAGACTGACTTTACACGATTGGAAGGTTGCGTCCCCAAACGTTTTAGCACATTTTCCATCCCTGGCATAAAGGTTTGTAATTAAGGCGAGATTCCCATAAAATGATCCATTTTCCTTACCCGCTTGGTCTATGCAAGGCCAAAGGGATCTGGAGTCTGTCTGGGAAGCTGCAAGGCAGACTGTAACCCAGGAGGGGCACCGACCCATCACAGGGCACACACACCTGAGGGCAATATTAGCATAGCGCTTCACTTTGCATGTCTTTGCACCAAGGAGGCGGGGGGGGCGGAGTACCCTGAGGAAACACCACGATGACATGGGGAGAATATGTGAACAACACATGTGAAGTTGGGGTAGAGACTTGAACCTGGGTCCCCGAGGCAATAATGCGGTTTGTCTTTCACTTAAATATTTATGCTTAGATCTTACTAAAGATGGAAAGACGCCTAGTAGTTTTGATGTCAACCTTAACATCAACAAAAGCTGAAATTTCAGTATAAGGATGTCGACCCAAATGAAATAAATGCAGCGGGACGTGTTTCACGGTTATTACAGTAACATTCATTGCTTTCCAAGTTTATGGCCATAGAACTGCGTGTTTGGAAACACTGATCTGTTTCACAACATTGTGTTCATTTCTGAAGGTTGTGGGACAAGATTTTGACCAAAGTATCTCACCCTTTGACTGAGAGAACCGAATTTATAGAAAGACTGCGGGGGACGGTAAGTCGCCGGACCTCCTCCCAGCCGCCTCCCCTCCTCCCAGCCGCCTCCCCTCCTCCCAGCCGCCTCCCCTCCTCCCAGCCGCCTCCCCTCCTCCCAGCTGCCTGACCTCCTCCCAGCCGCTAGCAAATGCAAAGCAATCCTCACACCCCAGGTTTAATGTATTTATACAAGTGAGAGAGAATTGCTATAGTACTTGCATTTGGATACATCAGTAACCAAAGATGTACATTTGGGTAAATGCACACTGACTATGAGGTGAAATTGACTATTGATTTGATTGTATGTAATGTGTCATGAAAGCTTCTGTTTCCGTGCACTTTGTCACTTTCCGTTTCAGTGTATTTTATGTCGACGCAGTCGGACCGTGGTGCTGCATTTGGCAGAACACTTCCCACACCAGCAGACCAATAACAAAACACCATAGCACCCATTTCATATTTCCTGCATCTTCCCCACACAAATGCTGAAGTTAAGGTTGGCTGCTGCGTTAAGGACCGGCGGCCGGTGTTGTGTGTGGCTCCCTGACGTGTCGCTCCTGTCCGGCTCAGTTCCCCGCTTGCTGGCCCCGCGGCGGCCCCACGGACTCCCAGGCGGAGGTGGGCCAGCTCATTCTGCAGTGCAGGGCTCTGACTCACTGCTACCAGACCGAACTGCACACTGCCAGGCCGGGCGGTCCGCCAGGTGCGTGGGGGCTGAAATGGGGGCACGGGGGGTTGTTAGGGGGCTGAAATATGGAAGAACAGAAGGAGTCCAATAGAGTAAGTGTAATAAAGGAATAGAAAAAGTAAATGCAAAAATTTTGCTAGTGCCTGAACACGCCAAGCTTTTTCAAGGGGGTGTTAAATGCTAAACCCCCCCCCCCCCACCACCACCAGAGGGTGTCCGATTATACCCTGCCTTCTCAGTTGATGTATTTCCTTAATCAAATGCTGCTCTTAAAGCACCTGTGCATTCCTCATGGAAAGGCTAGCATGTGTGACGCTAATCTGCAGGCCGTGCGGGGGGGGTGATTTGTGCTCGCGTACCTGCAGATGGCGGCGGTGAGACGAGCTATGAGTCCCAGCTGATGCTGCAAGGCCTTGGGAAAATGGCGGGCGACCTTCTGCTCAGAGCGGAGCAGCTGAAGAGTGGTATGGACCCCTGGTTTCTCCGCACCTTGCCTGTTGCCCAGAAACCCATTTTATTTATTTACTGGTTCAGTTTTCCCTCTAATATTCATACAGTCGTACCCCGGTGTCCGCAGAGAGGCAGGTTCACCCCTGTGGATACCGAGCACCGCAGATAAAGCCATATAAACACCAGGAGTTGTCAGTTTTTATTGTTTTCCATTGTTTATGTAGGTTAAATAATTTAAAAAGCCTAAAAAATTCAAAATGAGAGTGCTGTACAATATAGTACACATCTTAGACTGCTCTAGCTGCTGTTCAGTATCCTTACTGATTGCTTATGAGATGTGATGGGGGAGAGAGGACAGTATGTGTGTGTTGGTACCTGAACCATGTACTGTACAGCCATTAAATTACCCTGTAAAAGAAAAGAACATTTCATCGAACGTCTAAGCCTGCTGTGGGGACCTACCGTTCGCTTCCTCCATTACGCTACGTTGCTCCTGGCAATGATGATGTCGATGACGGTGATGATGAAGGAGCAATGATACTATACAATGCTTGCAGTAATGAAATGAATGTAGCAGAGTATGGTGCGTAGCTTGTTGTTTGTGATTATTTATATATATATATATATATATATATATATATATATATATATATATATNTATATATATATATATATATATATATATATATATATATATATATATATTTTGTATTCCACGCAGTTGACCACAGTTAAGTGAATCATCTGATAACGGGGTACGACTGTATAGGCTTGTGGTGTTAGTTCTGGTAAATTCTGTGTGCAGCCTAGCTTCTTCTAAGAATCCCTTCCAGGAGGCAGATGACAGCTTTGATGTGCTCTTCTGATTTGACGTCCTTGTTGTCCTCCTCATGCAGTGATTCAGTTGGCACTGTCCAAAAAGCTGACTGTTGATTGTTGGGCTGGTGCAGTGCCCACGTCATCACTGATAGGCTGGCTGGCAAATGCTGTGTTCCATTTACCCTGGAAGTCAGAGCTGATAAACGTGTTCTAGTACATCAAGTCGGGAAACCACTTAGTATTACCAGGGACCGGTTTCAATTCCCTGCTTAGCCGGATAACTTATTGGACTTAAGGTACCCCAGTGTAACTGCCCTTTATATTCATTCACATACATTTAGCCCGGACTACCTTAAATCCGACAAGTTATCTGGCTAAGCAAGAAATCCTGCTTTCTGAAACAGGCCCCAGTTCTAGTCATTGTTAGCAACATCAGTTGATAACGACACATTACATGGTATGTTGCACATACAAACACCATAGCGACATGTTCATGAATAGCGGTTGGACATTATTGTGTGTACGTCTGATTTAATGAGCCACAAATAAGACATAAGTGCTAATAAACAGTATATAACTACAGCTTTCACTTCTGCTGATAACGGATGCAGCCATCTTGAATTCTGAGGTCACTCCATTTGCTCGTTTACCGAAGCAGCCGTTGTGAGTCATATCGCAAATTTCCGAAACTTGGCCAATTCCCACTGATTGTCTTCACTGCTGGCATTGATTCCTGATGTCCAAGTTGAGGGATTCTCTGGGGGGTTTCCTCTCCACTATCGCCATGGAGGGTCGCAGTAGAGTTTCCGGTTAAGGGTGAGGAGTTGTGACATCATGCCTGCATTCCACTGTAACGCCCTTCGGTTATGGCTTCTGCTTATTGAATCACGGTTACATACTGCTGGGGGGAGTGAGAGCCGTGTCACTACATGCGTCGCCCTTTGGACTGAAATTACACCCTCAGTCTTTTGCAACCCCCCCTTAGTTGGGCAGATTTACGCCGTGCCTGTAACTGAACCGCCGTAACAGAATATCGTTCCCGGGACACGGTGTACAGCCGACCTAAACATCGCGGCGTCACTGAGCGGCTGACATCCCCCTGCCCCTCCATTTTGAGTTTCTGCAGCCGCACGGTCACTGCGCTAACCGCTCCAACATGGCCGAATGTACGCTCCTTCTTTCAGCCTGCTGGGCTTATGCTGCAAAGCTCGTGCTTTCTGGATTTTCCAGTGTTTAACAGAATTAAAATTCCCAAGCTGCTCAAAAAGTTCTTCATGAATATATAATGAGATTTTGAGGATTGGCTTCTTCCTGTCCTGTCTTGCCGTGTCCTGGTATTTTCCCAGAATAAATTCTTTTTAGTAATTAGTGTTTTGTCCTTGACAGAAATAAAAAGACACATTTGTTATGGGAGCTTCACAACTGTTTAGGTCGTAACGCAGTGTCATGCAGATTTACCAGCTCAGTCACGCAGAAGTCTCCAGAAGTCGCCTCTTCTGCCCTCAGACACTGACATTTGGGAGCACCTGTGGAGCCGGGACCCAGCTGGACGTCCCCTCAAGTCACGCTGGCCCTGGGAGGCCCCGCCCACCCCCCTCTCCTACAGCAGCCAGGCGGAGCTGGGGACCCTGGAAGGCCTGAGGCTGAGAGTGGCACTGCTGCAGCAGGACGTTCATCTGCAGCTGGTCAGCGCCCCGTCCCAAACATGCACCCCTCAAACTGCCACGCCTTGCTGATCTTCTCTCTTCCCCCGACTCCTCGCTTAGCCTCCGCCCCGGTTAGCCGCCATGCGCAAACTCGCCGGTAGCAGCAAATCCATTTTCTGACCGATGTGCGTATTTGGGACCAAATTTCTTATGCCGTGTAGCGCCGTAGGCTGAAGTCGCCGAGATCTCTGAAGCAGAATGCGCACCATGTTGTTCAAAATGTCCACTTCATGAAGGGTAAGATCGAGTATGGAAGGTGAGGTGGAGTTGTAAGGACGGTTGTGGTCACGCCTCTACTACGGTGATTTTTGCTTAGTGACCTGGGGTCCACAAATGCTCCTCATAGCGGCTTGCATGCTCAGACCCATTCAGTTGCATGGTTCCAACTATGCAAGTTGCTGACATAGTTAGCAGCTATGCTTCTGGGAAACACACCCTTGGGCGCCGGGACAGAAGGAGTGGCTGTTCCTGTCCCTCACGCTCCTCAGGGCTCCCTCTGCCTGTATATGTGGCTTCGTTGCCTGTCCCTCACGCTCCTCAGGGCTCCCTCTGCCTGTATATGTGGCTTCGTTGCCTGTCCCTCACGCTCCTCAGGGCTCCCTCCGCCTGTATATGTGGCTTCGTTGCCTGTCCCTCACGCTGTACACAGAGCTGAGTGCTCCCTGCTCTCTGCAGGTCCTGAGCGACGCCCTGGGCTCCCGCTTGTCTCCCCCGCTGTCCCGTGAGGGACGCCCTACCCCCAGCGTGCTGCGGGGCCTCTACTCCCTGCTGGCTGAGGGGGGCCTCCGCTTCCCCGCCCTAGTCCTGGACACGGAGCCGGATTAGGACACGCGGCAGGACAGGTGTGAGGCCCGGGACCATGCGTGGGCAGGAAGGAGCATCTGACAGCCCTCGATCGGAAGCGAGAGCGACTGCCAAACACTCACTGTGGCATCTGCAGAGCTGCGTCTGGATGTCGCTAACGGCACTGCCTGCTGGTGTTTGTGTGTGTGTGTGTGTGTGTGTGTGTGTGTGTGTGTGTTTCTATGTGTGTGTTTGATGAATTCCAGCAGTCTTTGTTTTCTGTGCAGAATCCGCCAGCTCTTTCAGTTTGATTTATTTTTTGTGTGAATTTCCATGTCAGATTCATAATATTAAAGTACGTCACAATGACCAGTAATGTCAAAGGGAATTTCTGTCCAATATGGGGGAGATTTTATGAGCTGCCATGGCATCAAACCATAAATGCGCCTCATTAATATGGTGGGGAAAAATGTGATCTGATTCTTATTAATATTCATGCTGATGGCGACAGTGGCTGCGATTTACCTGAACAGATTTCCTCAGAAGGTGCCCTGCTTGCTCTACCCCTCCCTGAGGCTCGGAAGCAGAATTTCCCTCATTATTGCCCAGCTCCTAGCACTGCTGTGGCACCTCTCCGCCAGCAGGTGGCATGATTCTCATTGTGCTCAGTGTCTCTCAGCCTAGTCCCCATGGGCCTTCAGACAGTCCACCTCTTAACGGTATCAAATCAATGCTTGATAAGAAGCGCTTCCAGTTTGCCAGAACCAGTATGGCGTGCTGATCGCGTAATTTATTTCGTAGTGCCTGCCAGGCATCTGCCACAGTGATTTATAAATCTTAATTCTGATAATGCTGTGTGATCGGGTTGCATGAAATAATGAAGTAATATTCCAAGCTGCTGTAGGTATTGATTTGTTTCAGTCATTTCCTTGGTTAAAAATGCAGCTCAGCCTCGAATCATCGTAATACTGTAGCGATGGAGATCCGGCTACTTAATGACAGGTTCTGGTTTCTCCGGACCTTTCTGCCACGTCCGTGATATCTGTGATTTATTGATGGTGCCATTTCTGCCCCACGCAGGTGAAAGCCTAAGGTCGTCATTCTCGTGCTTCAGATTTGCCCCCAGTCCCGGCTGGACACCCACACGCCTCCGTTCTGCCGCGGGCCCCCTAACGCAGTTTCTGTACGTATAGCGGTAACGCGCTCCGAGGTTTCAGCCTCTCGTCTTGCTCCGCGTCGCCCTCACTCACATCCCCGGGTTCTGACATGCGTGAGGGACGACGTGTTTCCGCACACATTTTGGAGGGTGTCTCCGAATATTCCTACAATTTTTGAACACCTATATTGTAATGCTTTTGGTTAAACTTAAAGCAGGGTGCTTGTTGTAAACAACCTGCCCGAAATATTAAAGCCTGGCCGTAACTCCTTTTGTGGGAGCTTCTCCCGCAGGGTTGCAGGGAAAAATACTTTTTCCTTCAGTCTCCAGTTAATTGAGTACTTTGCCTCGTATCCCGTTTTACAGGGATTTGCTCAAAACTCTGTCACCCTTTCCTGGACTCCTGTGATGCACAGATGCATACCTGCTGTGATACCCCAGGCCGCTCAGGACACCCCTAAACAGGACAAGAGCCACATTTTACAATATGTGTTTGTGGGCTGAGTAGAAACAATAACCCTTTTATTTTTAATCTGTAATTATGTGAAAGTTACAGGCTGGGGCCTCCTCCTCTCCCATGTGACCTGCCATCTGACGTCTTCCCGAAAACAAATACAATCTTGTTGCTCACATTTATATCGAGTGCTGTGCCCCGTGAATATCGGCGCCCCACGCTGGGCCTGTGGGTGGGGAGGGGGCAGGAGTGGGGTGGAGGCTGGGGGGGTGAGAAATTCAAGGAGCAAGCTGCTCCAGACTGGGCAACAGGTGGCGCTGTGGGTGTGAATGCCTGCTGACACCAGCCCCCGGACTTCCCTAGGCCTCATCCACTGAGTCACCAGGGGGGGGGCTGTTCCGGCAAAGACTTCTCAGAAGGCTGTACCCCGGTGGGCGTAGGTTTCCCAGGAGGCGCAGGAGGAGGCGCAGAGCATGATAGGCTCTGATAGTGTTTCTCTGCAGGAGTTTTAGGGGGAAAACAGCATGCTTCAGTTGTTACAGTGACTTTGTATAAACTATTTAAAAGTCAAGTCAAAAATAAGCACATTCTACAGCAGCGTAGGAATAAGAGAGATTGTGTTTTTAATTTCTCCTTGTCGGAGGAGTTTTGGGCGGGGGTGTGCTCCCTTCTGCCTTGTTTTTCTCAGCTAAGTGTGATTTACAGGTATCTGCTAATGCCCGTCGCCGTCTTTCCTTATTGGCGTGTCTCTGCCGACTTTACCCGAGTTGGGCAGCGCGGATAAATGGCAGCAGGTCGGCGTCTCCCCGAGCGAGAGTGAAGCCCGCTGGAATGAAGCCGGCTGACCGACAGGAATCCGAGTTTCCTCCAGCGTCTCGTTTCAAGGCTTCAGCTTTCCTCTGAAGTTTCACGTCTTTATTTTTTTAATAGATAATAAGTTTGCGGGAAAAGCAGAGCCTGGACGTCAGAGGCGCCGGCCCCGGGAGATCCAAGCCCTCCGGGAGACGGCCTTCCTGTGACCCCACCCCCCAGCTCGGGCTGTGTGACGAGAACTGAGCACCGCTGACTTTCATATGTAATTCATCACCCCCTCACCTCCCTGTTGCCACTCCTCCCGTCCTCGGCTGCTTTTCAGAAACACTGCTCAATCCACTTTATCATTTTCCCTGACGCAGACGATCATGCTGCTTGATTTTTCGACGTTTCCTCTGCATCTAACACGAAATTTCTCCCAGATATCTATACCACCTGTCTCTCTGAATACTTGTTGCACTTCAGGCTGCATTTTCACGTGGCGATCGGTCCAGTTCACTTCTCCGGTCCCACAGGAATCCTCAGATCTTAGACCCAAGCTCTATCCAACCAATCACCTTCCGGCTTGTGTGCCCTCTGGGTACGTTGTCCTTTCTTTGAGTGACTGACCATCAGTGGCGGCTTAAGCCCATGTGCAGTTCTGGGCGCGGGGGGCGGAGTCTGTGGTGTGGCAGGTCCTGAAGGGGCAGCAGGGAATGTGCCTGAAGGTGGATCCAGCACCATCAGAACATGCTGGAACATCAGCAATGGCGCCGACCGTCATTCCAGGGCTGCCAACTCCCGCATCTGGCGTGACACTCACGCTTTCACACTCACGCCCACACACAAAATCTAACGGCAAATCTATATTATTCCATTATAAACCTAAAATTAGCTGCATCAAAAGCGTTGGGTCAGTTTGCAAACCTTACCGACTATTGACAAGGTAACAGAACTCTTACATACATGTAAATGCGTGTGCAGACGTGTCTCGAATTGAAAATCTCACTCCAGCCAGCTGCCCGAAGTTGGCAGCCCTGCCGTTCCTGCCAATGCGACAGAGACGTGCTAAAGGGAGTGTTGGTTAAGGGCCATGGTGAAGCATCGCTGGCAAATGGATCCAGTCCTGCCTTGAGACGGATGTGTGATTGACACTGGGAGACTGGTGATGAATCTGTGCTCGTCCGGGGGCTGCGTTCCTCCAACGTGCCGTGACTAAATTCTGCGACCTAGATATGTGTGCGAGTCTCATGGTGTAGGTGGGTTATCGTGTGGCGTGGAACGGTTCCCAGAAGAAGAGCGCATACACACACGCACACAAACACACACATGCACACACACTCCTCAAATAGCCTGTTTGATCAATATTCTCTGAGATGCTTCTGTCTTTCTGCGCATGTAATATACTGGGGCGTGAAGAGGTTTGACAATTTGACGGCTCTTAAAGGAAATGGGAGTTGGACGGATCGTGCAGCGACGTTGGTGTCTCTGACAATCAGACTGTCATCCATGCCTCCCCCTGGTTAATGGTGTTTGGCAGGAGCCAGTGGGTGTGAGTGGGTGATGTCACGCACGCATGAGGCCCTCAGAAGTGGCAGAAGCAGAAAGCACCTGTTACCTGCTTACCTTGTGAACGTCAGCCGCACAGACGCGTTCACTCACGATGCAAAGGGCCAAGCACTGACACGCTTACACATCTCCCCACTATTCCATACCACTGTTGCCCTAAATAAATATACCATTTAATGGTCACCCCTCTGTTTTCAAAACCTAGAGCCACAAGTACATCCTTCTTCCTCCAAGAATCCGATTCCTTTTCAGCTTGGAGTAGGCAGGGAGAATAGAGGAAAAGCGAGAGAGCGAGACGGACAGAAATGGTGGGAAGGAGAGAGGAAAGAGAGGAAGGCAGTTACCTCAACCCTCCTTTCTTCCGGCCTCCTCTCACCGCTTGCTCTCCAATTTTGACGTCACTCACTGATGCCAGCCAATCAGGCTCTCCGGCCCACCCCCTGGCTCTCCCATTCAGCTCAGGGAGGCGGGGCATCTTCGACTCTTTATACCTCCCCCCTCAGCCCAGGCAGCTGAACACACGGTGCCCTGCCGGGAGAGTGCGGCGCCGTGTCTAAGAGAAAGGATGTGAGTGGATTAGTCACCGAATCCCCCAGCCCCCATCATTCTTCCAGTCTTGACGCTAACGGTTAGCTGCTCTTTATTATTTTCTCCGAGCCAGATCTGACTTGTGATCGAAACAGCATCGGCAGCTCAGCCTCCTCCTGCCGTCCCTCCCGGGCCGGCGCCTTGCTCCGAGGCTCAGAGATGGGCTGCACCACCAGCCCCGTGTCCTGCCAGCCTCCACCGGCACCTGCGCCCGCCGGGCAAGATGGCACGCCGCAAGATGGCGCGCTCAAGGTACCGGTCATCCCGTCCTCTCTGGAGAGACTGTCCCAGGCCACGGGCGGCATGGAGAAGTCCTGGTATCGCTGCATCTTCCCCTTCGGCCTGATCTCGCTGGTCATCGGCGTGGCCACCACCGCCGTCACCTTCACGTACGACGCCCTGCCGCAGGTGCGTGTGATGTCACTGGTGCTGCTGGGCGTAGGGTTCGGCCTTGGGCTGCTGGCCACCCTCTGCTGGGTGCTCCACAAGAAGAAACGCCGAAGAAAAAAAGAGGGACTCCCTCTGGACCCCGAGCAGAGCGCTCTGTGACCAGAGGAGCACAGGAGCAGCCTGAGGGGAGGCGCTGATCTGCAGGAGCTCGATCTGGCTCCTAATGAGGAACCACCCTGAAGAGCATGCAGGAGAAATGGACAGATTGGTGGCTAAAGAGTGAGATGAGTAGCTTTCTGCTATGGGGGGGGGGGGGGAGGTCCCAGTGAACTCTCACGCAGTCTGCGGTCAGCTGGCTGGCTTCACATTTCAAAACAACGTCCCCGGCATGAGGCGAGTGCGCGTACGCATGCACACAGGCACGCAGTCACTGCCTGCTCAGCGCGGAACGCCACCGATGTCGTTGGCACCGCCAACAGCCGCCGTCAGTGCTCGCATTCCTGGGACAGGTGGACGCGGCTCATTATCGGAGATGGGGGCCAGGAGACTGTAACCCGAAACCTGGATGGGAGAGAGGCTTCCCCCACCCCCTCCTCCAGCGCCCGTCTGTGCATTACGGCCAGGCTCTGGGCACCAGACCTCAGAGATGCTGTCCGGCTCTGCTCCCACGGTGCCTGTCACGCTTTCTCTCTTGGCATCGCTGCCCCAGCAAGGGAGACCCGTCCTTCTCCCCGGGCTGTGCCCGGCGCTCATGTGGGCACGCGCCTCTGTTAGGCCACCCAGCGTCAGAGATGCGGTTGATGGGAATTTGTGTGTCGGTCATGGATGGATTGTTCCAGTGTCCCGGCGCCGATGCTCACGTGCCGCGCAGCGCAGGCCAAGATGCTCTCCACCTGCGAGAAACGCTCCGAGGGACAGCCTGCCATGTGCACGGCACACCGCCCTCGTTCCCCGCTGTTCTCGTGCAACCTCCCTGCTGCTCGTGGAGAACTTGGATTCCGTCTCGTGTTTTGCCAAAATTGCTATTTCCCATGAAATTTAGGACGGACTCTAACTTGGACAGTAAGCCCTTCACTCGCCGGGTTTAATTGTGTCCCCCAGCCACACCCAGGTTTGTTATCATCAGTTATTTCCTTCTCTCCGATTCCCGTCCGCTGACCGATGTATCTGCAAGCCCGCGTCAGCATCACCCCTCGTCTGTGTACAGTATTTACTCCACAGCTCATGATTCCTACAGGCAGCAGGAAATTCAGGAAAATGGCAAGAAAACTGTGATGTAATCTGGAATACTGTAATTCCGCTGTATTTCATATCGCTTTAGTAAATATATAATATATAAACAGTTGGTAATATCAGCATTCCATGTACAACCGCTTTTTTCCCGTTCTTAAAGTCAGCTATAGAAGAACTGGATCTACACCGTTTGATTTACTGCATTACAAGGAATAATTTAGTCCAACACTGTGAGGCCCAATGTCTTCTGTTTGGTAACTGGGCAGAACTTCAGACACGTGTGGGTACACTCAACATGCGTATTATGACATGGCTCAAGCGGGAAAACAGCATTTCTTATCACAAACACAAATCTAGTAATGTGATGTGGAGCACTCATCTTAAGTTTACTAAAGTACATTGTGAGGACAGACTACTCGTAACCTGATATTATCTTATTAAAAGTTAGGTGCCTTTCTGATGTCATACAAACCAAACCACTGTAAACACCACTAACGCTGGGATCTACGGTTTCTCCTTGTCAACCTAACAGATTCCTGCATCGCATTAGACACTGGACATATCACAAGACGCTTTGCCTCAACTCTCCAAAGACAACAGAATGTTACAGCATAGCATAGGGAGGAATTTCCAGCATTTACAAATGTTTACTTGACGGTAGATAGGTACAGATGTGCCTTTTTTCTGCCTTCTCGTCGCTGCCCAGAACCTTAAATGGTGACACGGGAACCCTGATGCATTGTGCCCGAAGCAGCGGGGAGGGTAGCGCGTAGTCTTGTACTTTCATTGAGAAAACCTGGAATATGGCCGCCGCTACACAACTTACGCATGCATGTGCGCTCATGTAACCCGCATCGCTTATACAGCTTGCTGTACCTGTATTCGTTAGAATTTCGACTTAATGAAACATGAATTGGCGATGTGCAGTATACACATTCTGATTAAAAAAAGAGGGAATAAGAGAGGGTACCTATTTCCCCATGGCACCGCGTTTTATACGAAGACTCCTTATTGTACCTGGTGACAAATATATGCGCCTCCGTCTGTAACTTATATGCTGCTGTATATAAAACAGTATTTATATATTTATACTTTCATCTGACGTATTTTCAAAGCTGTATTAAACTTAAGATTAATACGAGCAAACCTATGTGTGCCTTTCTTTGTTTAAGACTGAAAATCAAGCGGGCGAGAACATGGAAAATGAGTAACAATTAATGTGATCACCCCAACACCCCCACGCCGCGACAAATACAGTTTTCACATGGTATGTTTATCACCGGGAAATGAACTAAAATATCAGACAGAATAAGAAGATTCGAGCTTTGAATCGATGGTAATTCCGACGCACGCATCTGCTCCCTTTATTTTCTGACGCATTCGGCTGTCCGGCCGCATCTGAGTAACAGGCGCACCGCCGCCAGCGTGTCGCTGATATTGTTTCACTTATGCGGTTTAAGGCTGTTACGGGCTTCCGCTACCAAAGTTACGGTCATCTGGTACTTCGCTTTGTATGCCATAATGACGAATACAACAATGACACATAATGGACTGGGGATCCGGCTGGGGAATATCTTTAATTCAGAGGGTCATTCAGATGGCCCAGGAATTGTTTCCTTACGTTACCTTCGGTTACGTTAATTAACTCGTAATAATCACATTTTTAATAGCGTTAACATGCAAACGTTTATTAGCTTTGCTTCCCGGTAATCTGTCTCCGGGCTAGTTTATGCAGGAAGTAGCCAGAACAGTAGTGAAACCCGCTGGGGATTTCACATACAGCCATTATCGTTCTATCCTTTTGTTTTGAAACCAGTTTTGGAAAATATTACCAACATTAGTAGATCAAAACAATTGTACATTAAAACTGTTGCAGCGTTTATACTGATCATTCGTACCGTTATTTATTCTTACAATTAAGACAAATTAATCTGGAATGATACGAAGCGCAGGTCATTTCTCCTTAGTTTTAACGATTTAATCTCGAATATGCATTTACATCTAAAATATTCTGGATGAATTTCGTAATACTTTTAGCATGAAACAGTGCAAATTGGTGAGGTTTTGAAGCAGGCTGTCTAAGGGCTGTCAACCTTGGTCAGTTGGCTGGAGTGAGATTTTCAATTCGAGACACACTGCACTCACATGTATGTAACAGTTTTATTACCTTGCAAATAGTCTGTAGGGTTTGCAAACTGCCCCAACGCCTTTGATTGTGCTAGTTTTAAGTTTATAACGGAAAAGTGTAGGTTTGCCTTGTGATTTCTTGCGTGAGCGTGAGAGTCTGAAAGCCTGAGTGTCACGCCAGATGCGGGAGAGTTGGCAGCCCTGCCGCGGACAGTTCTAGGGAAAAGCTTAGTGTTGGGGGCGCTGTGTAAGGCGTCATCAGGGTGCAGGGGTCAATGCAGATTGCCAAAGTACACTCCGGAGCCCATCCGGTACCTCCACCCAGAGACTTGGATAAAGAGCCAGATGTTTCATTCTCCTTTGTTAACCATTCATTAGTTATGTAAGCCCTCTAGGTCTTGACGACACAATTACACGTGAGGTGTACGCTGCGCGGTCAGGGAACAAGCTGTTGCGTATATCGCATTAAGAATCTGTAACGGACATTTGTCTTAGTTCTTATTCATTATATGCATGGATATCCTGAATGAGAGGCAGGAGAAATCACTTATTTGGCAGGAGTCCTGTTGTGGGAACAAGCAGTGCAATTATACACATCCTTTCAGGCTTGTTTTGATGGTGATGTAAATGTGGTTTGCAGGTACATCTCTTGATTGTTACCGTGACACAGCGTGTATAACAAAAAACTAATGACATTTAGTAGGAAATGATAAAAAAATACCTTTGCTTTTTTATGGTCATGTTAAAACACTGTGTCACTGAGGGCGTCCTTCTTGATACAGTAGGCTGAGTTAGTGACCATCATTGGTTGTGTTTATCTCATCTGTTTTTCATTCTGTTGTCATTATTCCTTTACGTCTCAAGGCACAAAGGTTCGTTTTGCATGGTGCCTGTTTTTTTTGTTTCAAAGTCGTGTTTTGTGCCTGTTTACTCTCTTTCCTGTATCCCCCTCCGTGTCGGGCTAGAACCCTGCACCCAAAACGTCACATCCTTCTTGCCCGAAACTCTGACACGGGATCCACTCGTCATCACATAGTTCCTGAGAACAGATAACATGAACTTTGCCACCGTATGAATAATACATCCAAACAACTTAGTCCCAAAATGGCTAAAGAGCATAGGGGAAGCATGAACGTGAGCATAAGCACCAACATGGCGCGCAATGCAAGATACAAAAATAAAAGGATTTTACGATAAAATCCAAATGAATACTGTAATAGCAGCGGTGGCAAACAGTAGCATCTAACAACAGTAATACTAAATAGTAAAATCAGAAGGATAAGATTAGATTAGATTTATTGATCCCAGAGGAAAAGCCTTGTGCATAAAGCAGCACATACGTAGAAGACAGACGAACACACATGTGGTGTAAAACAGGCAAGGTGCAAAGACAGTTCATACAGTGCGGACCAATTAAAAAGTACACAGTGCACAAATCAAATCCTGAAAAACAACATCAATTAAACGAAGACATGCTTATAATCATTTTGAGTGACAGTAGTACAAATGAGTTTTCTTGCCTTCATTCTAGAACAGTATTTAGAGAGAATGGCTCTTTTTCCTCGCCTGCCTCTGCGTGTCGTGTTAAACTGCTCCTCTCTGTATGTGTCTGAACTGCCCATTGATTAAACATTCAGCCAGACCCCAGTCCCTTGCCTCATAACAATGTACCCCCCGGGCAAAAAAAAGAAGACAGATTTAAATCGTCAAATGCCGCTTAATTAGTAATGTGGGTGCAATATGTTCCTTCCTCTCCTTTCCCCAATTCATCGTGCGTGCTGGGGACTCCTCTCGTTGCTTTTTGTCAGAAGCCAGCAATTCAGGTCTAGCAGCAAAAATAGCACAATACTCCTATTTAAACCCCCAGTCACATCTCCGAAAGGGTAACTAATGAAAATTGTGGAAAACACACAGTTGTGCATGGTGGTTTTGCGGCACTCCGGGGCCTTCTGGGAAATGTACTTGCACCCTCTGCTGCTGTCTGCGCTGAAAGAGCCCACCTACAGCACGATGGGAATCCTTTTAACATTTATTTTTCAAGAAAAAGGGCTTGATCCACCACTGGCAGGCCTGTCTGATTTCTCTGTAAATAGCAACGGCTAGTGTTCACTAAATCAACTGAGAAAAATACTTAAGATACCCAAAGAAATAACAGGAAGCTGCAAAGCCAGCAATCGCTCGCTCAGTGTGCCCGACCGCCACTCATTTAAGATCTGCTGCCCCCCCCATTCTTCTCATTTGTGGGCTTTTAAAGCATTTTTCTTTCAGGGCTGGATGATTTTTATGGAGGCTGTTCAATTTAGCTTTATAGTCTTGTGCCATAAAAAATCGTCCTTTAAGTTTCTCCCCACGTCCTTTAAGGTTATGTGTGTACATAGGATAGTATTATTGATTTTTGAGACTCTACTGTCCTGCTTCTTAGCATAATTAGGCTTAATGAAGGCCCAGTGGGCTACTGTCATCCACCAAACATGGCCTGAGTCGCGGTGTCACACTGCATCACTACCGCTACAGTGTCCGTGTTCTGACATGGGGGGGGGGGGGGGGCTGTCATCCGTGTCCTTTAAATTAACGTGGCAGGGTCCTGGTGGTGGAAAATATCGAAAAAGCCGTACCGCAGCTGAGGGCGGTGACAGTGGGGATGGATTCTAGCTAGGATGAGATGAGATAAGATAGCACCTTATTGATCCCCTTGCGGGGGGGGGGGGGGGGTATTCTTAATCTAGTGGCAAGGATACACAGGAAAGTTGAAAATAAAATGAGATACAACAAATATGTCGCATAAAGAATCTGCAGAATTTACAGAGAATACAGCAAAGTAAAAATAAATTCATATAAATGTCCAGATGTATACAAAGATATTATGAATCCAAAAAGGGAACACAGTGCAGAATGTTGGCGATGTACTTAGCCGTACGATACAGGCTAGCAGTATGTCAGTGGCTGTGAGATTACAGGACTGGTGGTGGGCATGAGGGTCTGCGTCTGGGGGAGGCGAGATCTCCTTTGCACTGCGGCAACTTAACTGCAAACAATGTAAAGAACACAAAATCCAGTTCAAACTGTGAATATACAGTAAATATTGTTCTGTACGGGAAATACAGGATTGTGATTTCAGTGGTTCTTAAACCCATTGTCAGGAATACGCCCAAATATCTTTTCTTGTTCATTACATGGATAGCAGACACCCCCAGGCCCCCAGTTTTTGGCGTCATGAAACCTGCAGTGCGTCAGATACTCCAGGCCACTGCATAGTTCCAGCAGCCTGCGTCTGTAAGCACCCTAATGCGTTGCATTTGACTTCTCAAGTATCTGCCTATATAAACCTTCGCCCTCGCGGTGGGCGGAGCTCCGGGGTGCAGTCACCCAGGCACTGGATTTCTCATGAAGTTTTCCTTCCGTGGCTCAAATCCAGCAAGCGTATGTGAGCTTTGCATGTGTGATCATCTATAACTACATTTGCTTAAACATTTGTTTGATCTCAGTGGAGTCATCCCCTGTCGTCCTGGGTCTCTGAATGTTCGCAGTGCGAGCCGCTTCGAAGAGCTGCCCAACCCCTGCTTACTCCTCTCCATAGCTCTGCCTGCAGCGCCTCCTGGCCAGTGAGAAACATAAAATGCTAATCATGTCCAGCTGTCAGTTTCCCTGAAAGCAAAAAGTCACCATCATCTGGTAAGTCTTAGACAAATGGAAAGGTTTTCTTTTCTCGCATGAAAAAACATGCAAATGTTGGTGAATTCTGACAAAGCTCATCTGACGTGTCTCACGAGCAGCGAGGAGGTCTATCTGTGTCTATTATTGTGGAAGAGAGGCTGAATCTAGCAAATGGCTACGTTTCTGCCGCCTCTTTGAAAATTGAAGAAAGGAATTCCGGCTGAACGCTGCTTTGTTTTTCAGGCCGTGGAACGGCTCTTCAGTGCTCAGAGAAACAATCGGGCCTGATTCAGGCTATAGTTCTGCTCCACATGACTCTGACTTTGGCCTTTATCACCAGAACCGGCAAAATGAAATGAAACATTGGCTGTACAGGCGAGACATGCCACACTCAAATGAATCTCCAGAAGATTTTTTGATGCTGGGCCAGTGGCCCCCACCTCCATTCTGTGTGCAAATGAGATAAAGTAATATAAGATGAGATGATCTTTATTGTCCCGGCACAAGGAACAGTGAAATGTCACTTAGCAGCGCAGTCAGCCCTCCAGGACCCCATACAGATACCAGAATCTGCGGATAATTATATAAAATGCTGTAGTATTTGCATATAACAGATGCACATCCTCCCATGGACTTTAAATCATCTCTAGATTTCTTATAACACTTAATACAACATAAATGATACAATATTATTGTACTGTATTGTTTAGGAAATACTGACATGAAAAATGTTTGTCTATGTTGTTTATGTACAGAAAATGTAGACATAAAGCAAATATAAATTCACACAAACACACACACAGTCTCTGTAGTCCAAAACAAAGCAGTTATGCCATCTAGTGTTTCTAAATGGCCCGTTGTGTGCCCTGTGATGGCCTGGCATGCTGTCCAGGCTGTACCCCAACCCCGTGCCCTGTGATGGCCTGGCATGCTGTCCAGGCTGTACCCCAACCCCGTGCCCTGTGATGGCCTGGCATGCTGTCCAGGCTGTACCCCAACCCCGTGCCCTGTGATGGCCTGGCATGCTGTCCACGGTGGGCCTCAACCTTCTATCGCATGTGCTTCAGGCCCTCAATGATCCTGATGAAATTAAGCTGTTTGAAGTTGGATGGATGGAAGAATTTGAAACTTATCTGTCTGGAAATGATTAAAATACTATTTTCTGTCTTTTAGGTGCCACAGAATCACAGTTGGTGCAATATTGTCAAAATGGAGATAATCTGGAACAATAAGAAAATCCACTCAGTAACAGATGTCCTTCTAGAAGCATGTCCCGCCCACCAAACACAGACAGACCAAATTCAACAAATCATTAGTGATTTAATAGAATTGTTCCAAGTGCCCCCCACCACCTCCTTGTGGGGACCACCAGGGACCCCCCCCCCCAAGACCTCTGACACAATTTGAACACTGGTGCCCACCCAACATACCCAAATGCACACCCCAGGATGGCACCCTAGTGATGACACTGTAACCAGTTAACGTTTCCTCAGGAGAAATGTGCTGAAGGAAGGCTTGCTTTGCTAGGAGAGGACTGGGGTCATTGTGAATGACTATACTCAGAAAAGTATGTTAGAGTATGTGAAGAGGCTAAGCAGGAGATCTGCAAATCATTATGAAAATAAATGCTTGTGCTAACTTTACTATTCTTGCATTCTTCTTCAGTTTCCAAACTGTGTTACATGGGCAAATAAGTAAAAGGTGGAATAATGTGCCCAACATTGGATCTGGTCATGTTTGGTAAAAACCAAACTGTGTTCCACGATAAGAGTGTCAGGACATGGATGAATTGCCATGAATCCTAGCTAAACACAGAATCCTGCAGGATGGTATCAGGTTGGCCCTTTTTGAGCTGGAGCCCAAACAGGAAGGTCACACTTGTAATCTAACAATGTTGAAGCAGGTTGACACAAAGATTTTGAAAACTTTGAAGCGTACCTCAAGGTTTCTCCATGGCATTGAGCATCTGATCCACTGCTATACAGGAAGCATTTGTATGGAATAAAACTTAGTGTTGCACCTTCTTTACTGATTAAATTATAAAAATGGCAAGTCGCACAATTTGTTCAAGCAAGTTCTCTTTTAATAATAATAATATTCAGGTAATATTCAACTTTCGGAGACCCCGTGAAATTTATTTCTAGCTATGGCCAGAAATGAGAAAGATTCAATCTCAAAGGTCAGGGGCGTTTTTAGCAGAAATACTTTCAAATACCAGAAAAAAATCCATTCTGCTGTTTGATTATGTTAAAAATATCGACAATTTAGATAATTACAAAATAAGGTTCAAATGTATAACTATCGGTAACTAGGAAAATGTACAGGCGTGCAATTTATACTTATAAAGCAATTTATTAAGGAAAACATTTACTCATTCTAAAACAAATGTTTTATCGCTAGCTGTTCTCCTGTTTGCATTTCCCAACGCAGAATACAAGAATGCAAGTCTCATTGGCTCTTTAAAAATGATACATTTAAAAGCACGGCTTACTACGTATGGCTCATTTCAACTAGCTCAGCAGGAAGTTGTCGTTCTTCCATCCGTATTGACCAATCACAGCCTAAGTAGCGAGAGCGCGTAATTCGAAAATCGCATCATTGCATCCAATAAGGAGTCGTGCGTGCCAATATTAAAATTTAAGCCAATCAAAACATAGAAATGCTCTCGTCAACGAATCATAGGATAACTCCGAGCTAGGTGGGCGGGTCTCTCCACCGACCAATGGCTTGCTAAAGTTGATGTTTAAACTTGCGCGCGGGCGGTGCTTCTTCAATTTGGGGGAGGATCCTAAAGTAGTTTCACACATGAATTTGAAAAAGTTTCGCAAGGGTCTGGAGGCAGGAGCCGGTGTCCGAAGTTGATACTCGTAGTAGCTGCTTAGCTACGTAAATTACAGGTTATTTTCGTAGAACTTTTTTGGTCTCCAGGAGGTCTTTTGCTTAGCTGTTCCCCCAAATTCGTATGATTAAACGTCATCAGTATTTTTTTATTTAGTATTAGCAAGTTGCTCAGCTCCAGCGTTTAATATAACCGACTAACTGGCTAACTCCTGAAATGAAAGCTGGCGGTAAGATTTTGTGTGCTTATTTACATTTGTTAATCTGCCTTAGATCAGACAGTTGTATTTAGTGTACTTTGTGTAATATTTTAGGTAACACTACTGTATAAGATACTTAGGTTTTTATCTTGGATGGAGGTTATTAGGATGGTTAACCACTGTACTATCTCAGGATAGACATTTTTCTTGTTAAAATAATAATGAATCTAGCACCGCAAGGTAATTTATAAGGTCATAACTAGCTAGTCACCGCAAAAATTCAGTGTGCTCTTATTGCCAGGCACTTACTATAATGTCCATCGACCATGGAGGGAAAATTGGGCGCCCATCCCAGTCAAGAACGATGTACCTTATGTCAAAATATATTATAGTCAAATTCTGCGGTAATTTATCCGAAATGAGATTTTTATGAATGACACACAATACATGTAAATCATTATCAAAAGGTATTGATTCTGCCCGTTGTGTAGTTTATTTTAGACTGCAGAGTGTCCTGGTTCGTCCTTGTAGTTCATATAACAGACACATTTCGGGGGGCCGTTTCTGTAAATGCGGTTGGTCCTAAACGATCAGGTAGAGCCGCATTCCTGTGTTTCTTTTAAGTCGTGTTTTGATAAACGTGGCTAGATTGTAACGTGTCTTGAGTCTATATATGCTCAGATTTTCGATGTAGAATGAAACAATTTTAATCAACAATCTTGTTCTTTCACCCGCTTTCCCAAATGTAATAAACCATATGGGATCCATTACTGACTAACAGTGTTACTGACGTGCGACTTGTGTCTCTCCTGCTCAGTGCTTCATTGCCGTTGCTCAAAATGCTTCTCTGTGCCCGTGAAGAAGAGGGTGAGGAGGCGCCCATCTGCCCTGACGCTGCTCTCCCTACCCGAGGAGGTCCTGCTCTGTGTGTTGCAGTGCCTCTCAGCCCAGGACCTGCTGGCTGTCAGAGCAGTGAGTGGCACACACTCCCGCATGCACGTGCGCACGCACACACACTCCCGCATGCACGTGCGCGCACACACACACACACACTCCCGCATGCACACACGCGCGCACACACACTCTCATGCAGGCATGTGGAGGACGCGAGGTCTCCCCATATCTGTCCTAGTGAAAAGCCTCTAATTGCATTACACTTGTGTGCCAAAACAGGGCCCTTCTTTGAGTTTCACATCCATCCGCTGGGTCATGGGCTCCCAAATCTTTCAGACTATAACCCCCAAAAAGACAGCGCCAGAGACTCATGAACCCCCATTTCGCCAACGTTTGGGGGTCCCTGTGTCGGTAGATTTCTTCAACCGGGGCCATTCTGTCGTGGTACATTTATCACAATTGACTCTGGTTACAGTTGCAATGGAGTACCCCCCCCCTTACCTTTTTAAAAATTTTAGAAAACATGCTCTTCAAATCGTCTTGCCACCCCCACTGGGAGGTGCTGCTCTAAATGGTTGGGGGCTGCTGTTCCTTTTCACTCGCCCCTAGCCCTACGAGGAATATTGGGGACTGGATAAATTTTAGAAAATGCTGGACGGCCTTTTTGACTGATTGCTGTTGTGTTCGCAGGTGCATTCGCGGCTGCGTGACCTCGTCGACGGTAACTCCCGGCTCTGGGCGCGAGTCAGCTTTGCCAACAGCTGGCCTTCCGCGGACACCGTCTGGCTTTTCGAGAGGTGTGTGATCCCTCTGCCTGTCCGCGCCTCCTCTGCCGGTCACGTGTTTGGACGTTTGGCTGCTTTTCCATTCATGCCTCGATGTTTCATGTTTCCTCTTGTTTCAGAGCGGCGGATAAGGGGAATTTTGAAGCAGCGGTGAAGCTCGGAATAGCCTACTTGTACAACGAAGGCCGTATGTTTTTATGTTTTTCTAAATACAGTGCTGTGTGGAAGGCTTAGACAGTCAAAGAAAATGGTTCTGTCTTGAAAAGGTTATTCATCTGGGTAGTAAGGTTATATCTGCTCTGGGGAAAAAAACTATTTAACATAAGACATTTTAACATTAACCCACTGGCATTTATGTTCTCCAAAAAGTCACTGACATCTTCTTGGATGGCTAGATGAAACCTAGCTATTACATGTATTTGTTTCAAGCTTAATTAACCAATTAATTGGTCAATTATTGATTATCCAAACAAACACTGTGCTGCAAATACTGGGAGAGGTTTTGATACTTCGACAGACAACATAGTATTACACAAAAGACGGAGATCATCCAAGTCCCATTTTCTTTGGCTGCCTGCACTTACTGTAGTTCATTGACTGTAGATCCAAGTGTCTTTTTTTTCTTGTTTTTAATACGAATCATTTTCAAATCCTTTCAGCTTCGCTGTCTGACGAGGGGCGGGCCGAGATCTGTGGCCGCAAAGCGTCCCACTTTTTCAGCCTGGCTGAGAGTCTTCGCGCCCCGACGGCCGATCCCTTCGTCTGGGTCTTCATCCGACCGCCGTGGTCCCCCTCCGGAAGCTGCTGCAAGGCCGTGGTGTTCGACCACCTGAAAGCAGAGTGCTCTTCGCAGCCTGTAAGCATCCGATTCTGGGAACACCCCTCTTCCAGCGTGCTCACCCGCACCCCTGTCCCAGACGTGTGACTCTTCATTTAGCTGCTCGCATAAACCCGTCTCATGGTGATGAGTTAATTTAAGGTCACAGCTGGCTGAGTGCGGCACCCCTGTGTTCCAGCTGCCCCCCGCCCCAACTAATAAAAACGTCCTCATTGAGTCAGCATTGGTCTTTCTCACCTCATCGTCCCAGAACGTTAGTTTAATTGCCAGGCGAGGTCATTTTAGAGTTCTGCAAAAAAAACACACTAAGTTCTGCAAAGCCCCCTAACTCAGATCTTATCCTACTTGTTATGTTGGTTTATTAAAATGGGGGGGGGGGGGTTTCGCCTCACCTGTTCATTATAGTGGAATCTCACGTGGTTGTATGTTTCGTTTGTTTCTGCTGCTACACCATAGAGACTACACCATAGAGACTACACCATAGAGACTACACCATAGAGACTACACCATAGCTTATTGATTCTGCCTGGAAGGTTCCGAGTCCCTCTCCGTTTTCCTTGGAAGTCGGCAATAAGAGCTTTCGCATTTTCGCTTGGTCTGTGTGCTCTGCTGTTTCCTGCCTTGTCTTAATGGATTCTTGTTTTTTCACTCTGCAGGAGAAAAGAGGCTCTTTGCTGCATTGTCTGGCACGGGTTCTACAGTTTTTTGATGTGAGTTTGTACAGATGAGAGACGGGGAGGGGGGTTTAATGGTGGGTCATTATTGTTAAATGCTGACTGGTGATTATTTTTGTTATACGATCATCAAAGGGTTTTAATGGGCCTCCTCTTTTCTTATTGGCTGAATTGGTCGTATCATTTAATAAGTGGGGGGGGGGGGGGCATGATGGAGCTGTGTGTGTTTAGCCTAACGCCCCTCTCCTGCACGTGACAGGAAGAGGAGAAGCTTGTGGAGGCCCTGGACATGCTGGAGGAGTCGTCCCGACACGGCTGCTTGCAGAGCTCCTACCTACTGTGGGAGCACCAGCGCAGGGCAGCGGTAAGACACTAAGGGGACACTTCAGGTCCCGGAAGGCTCCGTTTCAGGTCCCGGAAGGCTCTAAACCCCAAACTTATTCAGAACAAAAAAAAAAATGTTGTAAAACGATGATTCGTTTTTGAGATGCTGTCACTGGCAGTGTGTGTGTGTGTGTGTGTGTGTGTGTGTGTGTGTGAGCGCGCGCGGAATCTGGCATGTCTGTCTTCGTGGCTAACGTGGCCTGCTTGTCACCTCAGATGGCAGACCCCGGCAGGTACCTCCAGTGTCTGCGCACGCTGAGGGACTACGCGGCCAAAGGCTGCTGGGAGGCGCAGGTAAGCGGGACGTGGCCCATCTTGCGGCCTCCGTGTGATATTTTAAGCCTTCCGCAGCTATAACGCAGACTGTGTTCCTTCCTCTGCTAATGCGATCGCAGCGGCATGTTTGCGTCAGGTGCTGGGTAACGGGCCTCTTTCCTTCTTCGTTAACTGGCCGACTCGCTTGTCAGTGTGCCCACGTGGGGGTGCAGGAGCGAGGTGCAGCCATAACGGCTCACACTTCCTGCCGTGGCGGTCGCGTCAATGGCAGATCTGTCCACCCGTTCAGATAGATGAGCTCCGCTGCTCTAACAGCCTAGACAGGATGGGGAAGCCACATCTGCGGGGAGCAGCAAAAGAACACGGACCGGTTTCACTCAGGCGATCGATGGGTGGATGAAGCGCTCAGGATGATGTGTGCTGCTGTCAGATACAGTCGTCCTCAGCGGCGTCTTGCTCGGTCCTCCTGCCCTGACTAGACAGCTTTTTAATCCAGCTGCCCCTGATATTTTCTCCCTTGGTGTCACTCCTGCAGTTTTCTTCAGTCACAGAGAGTAATGGTGCTTTGTGCCCTGCATTTAAACAGCATATTGCAGGATTTCCCAGTTCCGGTCCTGGAGGACCAGTTTACGACCCAGTTTGCTGATTGCCCTGCTCAGACATGCCTGCTGAACCAGGAATTACTGTGTAATTAGCTGATGATGAGTTTGAGCTGGAAACTCTGCAAACTGCAGAATTCTGGCTGTCCAAGACCAGAATTGAGGAACCCTGGCAAACTGAATATGAAATAATGACAGATGTTTCCCACGCCAGTACTTGCTCTGCATAGTAGCGGGAGGTTTGTCAGGTGGGGGAAGCTGACCAATCGCGGTTGGCCTCATCACCCCTTCCTCTGTCGCCCCCTACCAGCTGTCCCTGGCCAAAGCATGCAGTTCTGCAAACCCTCTAGGCCTGGACCCACAGGCCTGCGCTGACCAGGTCGCCCAGCTCTTCCAGTCCCAGTCTGCCCAGCGTCGCCGACCCGAGGACCTACTTCGTCACGGGATCAAAGACACCATGAGGTAAGCGGGTGGAGCGTACCGGAGTGACACGCCCCCTGGTGGCCTGAAGGTGCACCTGCTGGTGATCCATGTGTTCTCTCCAGCTCGTGTCGGTGATGCTTCAGGGAAACGGTGCTTCCTCCCCGCCTGTCAGTCACCTTAGTTGGGGTGTCGGTACCTTCCTCGTATCCTGTGCCTGCCCAGTCATGTCATGAATAGCTTTTCATTGGCTGTGCACTATGTATATATTTTATAAAAAATAATAGTTTATTATTGCAAGCTTTTGAAAACACTGATGTTCTTATTCACCTCAGAATAGGGATTAAACAAACCACACAAACGATTCCATTGGGTTAGAAGCCATTGTGCACCAGTGAATGCTAATTGTTATTTTAAATGAATCTTCTGTTTTCACAACAGTCGCTCTGCCTCCTTCAGGTACATCCTGGTGGACTGGCTGGTGGAGGTGACCACCATGAAGGACTTCTCCAGCCTGGCGCTGCACGTGACAGTGGGATGTGTCGACCGCTACCTGGCACTGCACTCCGTGCCGAAAGCCCGCCTCCAGCTGCTAGGCATCGCCTGCATGGTCATCTGTACCCGGTGGGTGGTGCTTTGCCAGTTGGAAGCCTGCTGAGATCATGTCTGTCTTCTGCTGTTGTGTCTATGCATTTTCCAACCTGCTTCTCAGCAAGGTCCTGGATTATGTTCTGAACATGTACTAGTGCGTCACTTATTGATCCATATTTCCCTCAGCTTTTGAGTCCATAATGATATGAAGCAGTGTTTCCCAATCCTGTCCTCAGGGACCCGCATATTGTGGAGGGAGCAAAAATGTGGACTGTCTGGGAGGCAGCAAAAATGTGGACTGTCTGGGAGGCAGCAAAAATGTGGACTGTCTGTGGGTCCCCAAAGACTAGGATGGGAAACGCTGATATAAAGCATCAGTCCAACAGAGTCTCTCACTGTGATCTCTAGGTACATCAGCAAGGAGATTCTGACGATCCGTGAAGCTGTGTGGCTCACCGACAACACGTACAAGTACGAGGACCTCGTGAGGATGATGGGAGAGGTCATGTCTGCACTGGAGGGCAGGATGCGGGTGTGTACTGCTCTCCTGAGCTGAAAGTAAATGCTGTACTTCAGTCGGGTTGTACGAGATCCGCCAGATCCATCTGGGATTGATCAAACGGGTCTGCCTGCCTGCTTGCATGACTGATGGCTATGGTCATCACAGATGATTCCTGAAGTGGAATGAGGCAGGCGGCAGACTGAAAGCAGAGGCTCTAACGCAGCTCTTCTTCCTCAGCTAGGCGATTAACACCATGCTTAGGGATGAGTCCAGCCACTCCATCCGCTGGAGCTTGCAGGAAATCGGCCATTTTCAGACATTAGCCAGATGAAGGTTCTCTCTTTTGGCTTGGCTGTACTTCCCTCCAGAAAAGCTCTAGTTTCTGCACATCTGTGCCCATGTGCCTTGACGTGGGGGCCCTTTGTGTCCCAATAGCACATGACTCCCCCTATCTGTGTGTTGTGCTAATTACCAGCAACAGTAACTGAAAATATGCTGCTTCAGGCAGACGCGTGATGAATCTGCTCCGTCTCTTCCTCCAGACTCCCACCCTGCTGGATTACGGCGAGGTTCTGCTCTCCCTGCTGCCCCTGGAAAGGCGCAGTGCCCATCTATTCAGCTACATCTGTGAGCTCTCGCTCCTCTACACGGATCTGACCCTGCCGTCCCCGGCTCGGCTTGCCTGCGCCGCCCTGCTGCTCACGCGTGCCATGCACCACTACGGTGAGCCCGGTTGACTTTGCCGTGCAGGCAGCGAGTGTCTGCTGGGAGCCCCACCCCTTTATGCACAGGCCCCGCCTCCTGATCTGTGTGCTGTGCTCTCGCATTGCATTGCAGCTCCCGTCTGGCCCCCAAGGCTGGCCGAGCACACCGGCTTCTCCAAGCAGGACCTCATCCCCAGTGCTGTGCTGCTCTATACTAAATGGTGAGTCACATGCATGCCCCCCCCCACAGCCGCTTATAATGGGATAAGAAAGGCGGAAAATGCAAAAACATGTCTTACAAAAAGGTCAGGATGAACCTGTGAGCTGACTTCATGTTAACCTGTAATCGTTAGAGTAATATTGAAAATGACTAATTAGGTCATATCTGGGTCTCCTTTCTAAAAGTCAGAGGATCTTAGAAGGTCATTGGAAAAGGGATCAGCCAAGGTCACTCCAGAAGGTAGCTTTGAAGGTCCACGTTCCGTTCTCGGTAGCTACAGCGTGCTGGAGCAGCGGCGTCTTACAGCAGATGGCCGCCCTTTGCAGCAGTATATGGGTAGCTGTGTGGGGTGTGAGATCGAACAGACAGCATGCCGGCCTCCTGCTTCCAGGACCCCACAACCTTCTGATCTGTAGCTTGGCGTGGTCTCATTGGGCATCATGACGTCCCTATGGCTGCCCTTAGTCTCTCCGGTGCCCCTCCTTATGTGAGGAGCCGTGTGCCGCCTGCAGCCTAATGTGCTTCAGCCTTCCTGCGTCCATCCTCAGGACGCTCATTATATCTTCATCTATCAATCTGGGGCTGTTAAGAGCTTCACGCAAGGCACCGCTTTGCCGAACACGGGCTGTAACGGGGTTGGCTGTTCTGCTCACCGGCACGTTCCTCTCACCCTGGCAGCCATCTTCCCCCAGCGTAACCGCTGAAGCTGGGCAAGCCGCCAGAGCACCATATTTGGCTTCTGCCCCCCCCCCCCCCACAGACGGCACTAGGGGCCAGTCAAACATCATTTATTAGATGCACTAAGCCCTTAATGTCTGTGCAGTATACAGCTCCTGCACTGTAAAGCCTTTATCTATCCAAACTTTCTTCCTCTAACTGGGTCTCCGGCGGCCTGGAGCAGATCGCAGGCACCCCAGGGCACGAGGCCGTGGTGCACCCTGGACGGGATGCCGGCGGATTTGTAATCAAAGTTGTGTGTATCAGTGGAAGTGGAGTGGGCGGGGGGGTGCACGTGGGTGAGTCACAGTATGTGTGGGAGGGCTGAGTCAGGGGACCGAGGGCCCCCCCCCAAACTGAGATGAAACGGCGGTAATGAACACCTTCCGTGCGCGCTTCTCCGAGTACTTCAGCCCCGAGTGTCGAGCTTGATGTCATTAATCATTTGGTCGTTTAGAGCTGTAGGTTTACAGTTGTGTGTAAGTGACACTCCGCTGTTCTCTGCACGTCTCCGATGCTCAGTTTCAGCGACGACGTCCCCACGGATTACAGACACGTGTCTCTGACGGGGGTCAAGCAGAGGTTTGAGGATGAGGCCTATCAGCAGATCAGCAAGGAGGAGGTGAGGCCCGCCGTGTCTGCAGGTCCAGGAGCACATCAGCCGACGGTTCTGGTGGAAATGAGGAATTGACGCGTTCACCAGTACCCGCGTTGAGAGTTAATTACAGGCAGATCTCGACTTGTGTAAAACCAACATGCATGAATGTGGAGTTGCGCAAAAAATATCCTTCCAAGCCGCCTTATCTCTGACCCACACAGGTCATGGGCTTCAGAGAGCTGTGCGAAATACTGGGGATCCCCGAGCAGGAGCAGGAGCTGGGGGGTCTGGGCGGCTCGGGGCAGCCTGGAGGCCTGCACACCTTCCTGTCCTCCCCCACCAGCGACAGCAAGAGGTGTGTGTGTGTGTGTGTGTGTGTGTGCCCCCCCCCCCAGGGTCCGGCACCTTTCAGTGGGTACTGCCAGGGAACTGAAGGTGGTGCTGATGGTGACTCTTGACCTGATTTTTTTTAAAAATTTTTTTTTCTCCCCCCCATCCAATCAGGAGACGCAGTGAGAGCGGCACACACAGCCACAGGGGCAGCTTTGTGGCCACGCCCACGGCCGAGCTGTCCAGTCAGGAGGAGACGCTGCTGGGGGACATCCTGGAGTGGAGCCTGGACACATCCTGCTCCGGATACGAGGGAGACCAGGAGAGCGAAGGGGAGCGGGATACGGAGAGTGAGTTTAGTGGGATTTAGCTTTCCTGTTGGGAATGCCGCAATGTGTGTGTTCTGGAGCTGTTAGTCCTGCCTGCTCTGGGCATGTTAACAAGAGGGTGATTTGTGTGTGTCGCCCCCCCCCCCCAGCCTTGACAGGTCTGGCCCCTGAGATCCTGCTGACGCACGAGGTTCAGCCCGCAGACTCGCGCCAGCACTGCCGCGCGGTTTCCAGCGACGAGGACAGCCTCTGCGAGTCGGACGCTGATGGGACCGGCCGGCCCAAGCACTCCGGCGAGGAGCCCCTCCCACACACCGGTGCAGAGCCTTTGTTCCGACTGGCGAGCGTCGACCTCCAAAGCTCTGGGTACTCCTCTGTGCAGAGCCCCAGTCCTTCATCCTCCTCCTGCTCTTCGCCCCCCTCCCTCATCTCCTGCACGCTCCCTAATCTGACTGCATCTTCAGTGCTGGTTTCACCAGGCTTCTGCCCCCTGATGGCCACCACCAGGGCCAAGAGCTTTGGTCGGAGGCAGGTGAAGAGGAAGAACGGGGCGGCGCACAGTGGCGGGGAAGAGGCCGCCGAGGGCTTCCTCAGCCTGTAGGGGGCGCCGTCGCGGACATCCCGGCCAGCTCCTTCGGGGACTCGCAGCACTTTCAGATCCCCACCTGCTGGGAAAGAGTGAAATTTATAGGGACACATAAAATGAACAAACTAAACTACAGAGCTTTAAGGACAACAAGGACAGACGTGTCCTTCCTGAAATCAGCCACCTGACTGAGCCCCACGTTTTTTTCCTAGTCCGCAGGGTTATTTGCTGGAGATACGTGATCCCTGAGTTCCTGTGGATTAGCGCTGATGCAGGAATGACTGGGAAATCTGGCTCTGGTGGGACTTTATCAGTGTTTTAATGCCGTATAGGCTGTTGCAACAGTCTGTCCGTGGTGCTTTCAGACGATCGATCACCTCAAGAAAAAGGCTGTAATCTTTGGTTTTAAGTATCGTGACAAATCGAAATGTTCTGTTGGTATTCTGTGGTCCGGGTGTTCAGATAAGCGCGAGCCTGAGCCCTTACGGGAGGCCAGACCAGTCAGAAGGGCTGTGAAATGTCACTTTGCGTTTCTGGTGGTTTTATTCAAGTTTGGCCCTTTGGATTTAAGGCGATAAGTGCTATCTTAATGTTTACAGTTACTTGGTGCGACAGGTTTGGGGCAGGGGGGGGGGTCTTTCGAAATCTCGAAGGCGTGGCGGAGTGCACCTTGCCGTCTGCCGGAACAGGATATCAGAGATGGACAGCTTATGTATCAGCTACATAGGCATATTACACTATGCTCTGAGAGTGGTTTACACTGTTAGCTGCCAGCTAATGGATTCTCTGCCTGCAGCTGTTTGACATGCTCTGCTTTGGATCCCCTTACTTCGCATAATTTTAAAATTGGACCATTTAGTCGACTGGCTGTTGTAGCTGGGAGGGGGGGGGGGATCCACACCTCCCAGCATCTCTGACACCTGCATGTGGTTTCGTGCCCTTGATTTCCGCAAATCAATGTTTACTGTGAGGAAACTTTTTTGGTGGCTTTTGCTGCACTACAGCAAGCAAATACTATAAATGTCAGTGCATCCGAACAAATGAGTTGACTTCATGCACTGAGGCTGTTGCTTGTGAATTTAAAAAGTACTGTATTAAAAAAAAACAACAACCTGTGTGGCACGGGACAGCCTGTCCGCCAAAAATCGACTGATTTGTAAATAGTTGTGCTACACAGAATGTATTGTGTAAATAATTTAATATGAGAAACTGTGACACAGCGCCTTTTACTTGAAGCCTGAGATTTTGCAGGAACCTAAAGTACAGGAACACTGCTCTGCGCTACCTGAGGATGCACTGCCTGAGTTCCTGCGGTTTTCCTCTTGTGCACGTGAAAGGTTGTGTTAATGGAGGTCTTCAGTTGGTACCCCTGCAGTCTGTAACTGGGATCTGTAAAGATGTCATTGATATACTGCCAAAGTTTAGCCAGCACATTGATGTGGATGCAGTGCTGCTGCTGCCGGAAGGTCTCGGTGCTGCTGGGAGTTCTCAGTGTGTTGAACATCCTTATCAATGCAAAGATCATTGTGGTGTGACCTACCTACAGTTCAGGTAACGACTTGAACAAGCGGCTGTATCTGACTGCCAATAAACATTTTAAAAGAGTAACCGTTTCAAAGACTGCTATTTTTTTCTCAAGTCGTAGAAAATGATTGTGAAATGCTTATTGTGCGATACTGGGCAGCCTTCCACAATCGCTTGGCCCGGATCACAGGTATGGATACCTCTGCCTAGAAAAGCCTGCCGATCGAGCGTTTCTGATCCGGCTGGGATCCTCCAGGCGCAGCTCTGGACTTCGCCTTCCATGAGGATATCGTCACCATGATCCCTGTCACGTGCTGTTTCCATCTTCATAGTCAGAACATAAATAATTAAGGCAGCAAGTCATGAACGGTGAAATAATTTAGCTTTAACATTTCTTCCAACTTGCTGATAGTGCAATGTTTAAAGACTACTTTATTTGACATGGACTGACAGGTACGATTTGACGCACGTCTTGCCTTAATAGATAGAACATATGAGCTATCGTGAGCGCGATCACGTGAAGCCGGCCGGTGGTCACGTGATCCCTTGTTGACGCTCGTACTATTTGCACAGTGAGCGCAAGCTCTGCCTGTGCTTGGTGCAATGTCATCCTTAGGTCTGGCGTGTAAAGATCAGCAAACAGCCCCGCGCCGTGCGCCTGTACATGCAAGGACTATTCGCTCGAATGTTTCTGTTCAAGACGAAGCCGAATGCTGGTCAACGTTGTCTCCGTAATTAGAGATTTTTCTCCATAAGTCGGCAAAGAAGTCACATTCCATGAAGTTATATCGCCAGTCACGACGCTAGAACTGCAAGGTAAGCTGCTGTTATAATATATTTTATGCTTAATCAAAAGCGGAGTCTCGATATTCAGACAAAGCGTACCTTGTCATATTTCGTTTTTTTTCCCCCGAAGCCATTAGCGATGGATTGACGGGTGTTTAATCCAATCGGCGCAGGCCGGGGTGGCCATCCTACCGTGCATACACAGGGATGAGGGTACCACGTACGTGCTCCTTCGGGGAGACAAAAGGCCAAACGTTCTGCTTTTCCTTTTTTACATTTAGATAATAAGTCAGTGTGCTTAGTCGTACACGGGCTATATAAATGATATCCCAAGAAGGCCTGCCGCTTTCTCTTTCTCGCGATGTTGCCTTCAATAAGTGTGCCGCTTCATAATAAAAAAACACCGCGTTGTTATAAATAAATGTAACTGCAACGCGAGAAATATTAATACGTTATCTAAAATTACCGTCGAATGACATTTATTTAAAAGGCACATTTAAAGGCAGCATGTGGAATACATCACCTGTATAAAAACAGGGTTTCTGCTTCCTGACCGACTGGCCAGTTAGTTGCGAGAAAATCGCTATTTAAACGTGTGTTAAGGGGCGATAAGATTTATTAATTCAAAGTAATCCTCTTAGGCAGCGCGACGAATGCGTTCTCTTTTCGTAAGGAAACACAAATGATTACCAGTGGAAGATGGTTACCCCCTCCAGCTCTGTCAGAACCACTTACGACTTAAAAGTTCAGGTAAATCTATCTGCCCTAAAGTCACGGAGAAAGGGGGTGGTACATTGGTCAACACGGGAGGTTTTGCCTTGAGATTTAGGCTGAATAATTTTTGACTCCTGGATCCTTCTTATACTTAGTTTCCTTTAAGCAACCGTACGTAAATGCTTACAAAGCCGCCTTTGTTCTCTGAAAGCGATCCAATGCAAATTTGCATACCTGGGTGCCTTAATTACACAGTATATCAGAAAAGTGTTGCTACATTGATTTAATGGCTTGACTTGGACTGTCCTGATGAGCTGGCCTGTGATTACCATAAGGTTAGCATTTTAAGTGGGTGACTTCAGTCTTTGATCGCACTCTGGACTGGGCAGGATGTGCCCGGCGCTGCCAGACCTGTTTGGTGACATTGCACTGTGTTTACAACTCTTCACTTTGCCTGTTGGCAGATTTGCTAAGAGTCTAGCCTTTTCCTCTCATGTTTCTTGTAGTGTCCAACATATAATTTGTGACATATTCGCTTTTCCCAATGAGTTATTACAGAGTATTTTATAAAAATTCGGTACTGCAGATTGCAGTGATCCATCCCTCTGTCCATTCCTATATTTTCTGCTCACCTTATCCGGCCCAGGGTTGTGGCATGCTGGATAATGCTGGATCCATAATCCTTTTGGTGTCATTTGCTTTTCGGCAGGAAAACAGCCCTGGATTTTGTCCTTCTGTGGATCGGTATTTACTGAAGGTGTAAAGGCTTCTTTGTAATTTTCTCTTTTTGTGGAAATGGCACTTTTTCAGTGTTTTTTTTTCTTTTCTTTTTGATTAATAACCCATCTCTCTCCCTCTCTCTCATCTCTGAACCTGACAGACTGCGCCGCCGTGATTGTGCTCGCTGTCCGTCAGTGAGATGGCTGTTTTGCGACAGTTTGGCCTGCTGCTATGGAAGAATTACATTCAGCAGGTGGGAAAATGGAGGATTTAATCTCCAACAAACTAGATCTACAGGCAGCTTTTGTTCCTTGTCCGTGTTTTCGTTGAACTTCAGTGTGTCATCGCACAAATATGTGTTTAATTTTATTTGACAAGTAAGTTTGTTTTAAAAACACGCATGGTACCGTCGTACGTCAACTGAACCTGTAAGTGCCAAAAACATTTTTGCATTAGTATATAATACCATTTCATTTATGGAATTTCATAAATTAGTAAATCATTAACTTCAAGGACACCATGAGCAGCACTGTATTAATATAGTCTGCCTAATCTTGATAATCAGCTCCAGTAAAGTTTAAGCACTTATAAAGCAAAATGAATGTTAAATACTCCAGTCTTTTTAGAGATGGAATTTTATGTATGTATACAAAGCACGTCTGTCCTTTCTTGTTTCCTTATCATCTTCCAAACCTGTATTTTTGGATTAACCTTATTTTTTCCTCAGAAAAACACCTAGTGTTTGTACTGGCAGCTTATCGCATTATCTTTATTTTGATTTAGTGTTGCACGATGCATGATTGCATTTTCCGTCTGTGGGATACACATTGCCCAGTTCCAAAGCATGCTTTTTAATTTTTTATTTTATGATAATTTTTTTTTTATTTTGTTGCCTGTTCCTATGAAGATGGTTTCCAGCATGCATGCATTTTTATACTGCAGAATTATATTGCAGCATATGTGCATTAGACTCGTTCTGGGAAATTTTGGCCAGCATTTCTACCCACAATGCATCTGGAGCCTATTAGTTTCATGTGGGTGACGCCGCCACTGCATCTGCAGATCATGGCAGCGCGGCTCCGATCTCAGACGCAGCCTCACCTGTACCCCTGACATTCCTCTTCTTCTGGCCTGCAGAAACGCCAGATCCTGGTGACGCTGGTAGAGGTGGCTCTTCCGCTCCTCTTTTCTGCCATTCTCATCGTGCTCCGCCAGAAAGTGCCCTCGACCAGCTACCCCAACGGCACGCATTACGAGAGCTTCTCCGTGAGCCGCCTGCCCTTCCCGCTCTCCATCGGGAGGTTCCAGTTCGCCTACGTCCCCGGGAACTCCAGCGTGGTGCGGCAGGTGGCTGAAGATGTGCAGAGGAGCCTGGGCCCAATGAGCATCCGCTCAGGTCAGTCGTCGACGCGGCGGCGGGCGGGACGGGGGGTTTGCCGTCTGCTGCGGGGTTCCTGGGGCTACGACATGGCCCCTCCCTGGCCTGACTCCGAGCGGAAGCGGGATAACGGAAGGCTCCGGAATAAGTGTTCCAAAGGCGGAATGTACAGAGTGAAAGTGTGAAACGGGGAAGGTGACTTCACAGCTTGTGGTGTGACACACTGATATTCCAGCAGCGGCAGAGTGGGCGATGCTGGGAGAATTTAGATAGAGGTGTGTGTGTGTGTGTGTGTGTGTGTGTGTGTGTGTGTATGTATGCTTGTGTGCATGCCTGTGTGTGCATGCGTATATATACGCGCGTGCACATGTGTATGTGGGTCATGTATATGTTACACTGTGGGGACCAAATGTCCCCACAAAGTGTTAAGAACCTGCTATTTAGACCTTGTGGGGACCATTTTTTGGCCCCCACAAGGGGAAATAAGATTTTATAAAAATCTGTGACTTCAATCAAAAAACGAAAAATGCCAAAAGTTGCCTAATTAGTTTGATTACTTATGGTTAAGGTCAGGGTTTGGTAGGGGTTAAGGTTTATATTATTAGCATTAGGGTTTTGCCCATAGGAATGAATGTAGAGTCCCCAGAAAGGTAGGTGTGTGTGGAATTGGCATCTCCCCTCCATATTTCCAAAGGATATCCTCCCACAATGCTGGTCCATACTGTGGAATCAGTGATTTGCATTTGCTGTGTATAACACACATGTGTATTGCATGGTGTCCACATTGGAGTCAGCGGCTGCCTGAGCAAACGTATATGTTTGCTTTATTGTTAAAGCCGTCCAGCTATTGTTATGTAAGGGCTGTCTGAGCTGCCAGCAGGCCGTGACAGGTGATGTCCGTCCTTGGTTTGGTCCATCCTGCACAGATCCACGCCGCCGCTACCTGGCAGACCGTGAGAGCATATGGACGTCTCCGTGTGGACCTCTAATCTGCGCTCCGTCCGCAGCCTCAGCCGCTTTAACCTTTACCTGTCTGCGGCAGAGTAGAAGGCTTGCGACGGGGGCTGTCAGGGCAAAGTGTGTGTGTGTGTACGGTGACTGTGGAGGGGGGTGCATTGTGAATGTGTAGGTGTGCGCACTGCCAGGAAAAATGACTTAAAATGACGACAGCATTATGAAAAGAGGAACATGTTTGTTAGCATAAATTGATATGTAGACGTAAAAGAATGGAAATGACAGTCCAAGCAGCATGAAGGTCACCTGAGGCAGATCGAAGAAAGGGGTTAAGCGAGAGGATCAGCTAAAAATGAGAGATATAGCCAAGGGGCGTGTCTGTGAAGGTGGAGAGGCGGTGTGGGGCCGCGCGAGTGGCTGTGCGGGATTGTCGTCGGCCGCATGCGGGTCTGGGTCCGCGTGGTGGGACTGCGAGGACAGGTGGCACCCGGGAGGCGAGCCTGGCTGGGCTCCGTGCCCCCGGGGGGCCGGACCGCGATCAATTCTTGCTCCAAGTGGGAGAGACTTTAGCAGCCAAGATTTATGGGCTCCTGCAAGGCAGCCGCCGGGATAAGATGCATTAAAAATGCAGTTTTAAAGGCCAGACAGAGAACACAGCACCCTTTTCTGTCCCCGTGGTGGGCTGCTGCTCCTGCGTCTGTGGAAACGAGGCAGAAAGAACGGCAGGCGGCTGTATCAGGGGGGACTCATCGCTCAACCTGTGGGGCGGGTCTCGCTCCTGCTCCCCTGTGGGCCTCAACCTGACAACAAGCTCCTCTGATAACATTTATTTGCACGTCTTTCTGGCTTGGGAATTTGACGATCCGTGCTGACTGCTATGCCCTCGGTACCCTGCTTGTTGCTCTGCTTGTGCCTCTGATCCCACAGTGTGGGGGGGGGAGGGTGGCATGTGGTGTGGCCAACTATAGTAACGTACAGTTTAGAAAGCAGGGCCAGCCAGTCCCGGGAGCTATTGGGGTTAAAGGCCTTGCTCAAAGCGATGTATAACTGAGAGGTCGATTCGTCCTGCCAGCCTCGGGATTTGAACCAACAAGCTTCCGGTTACTGACCTAACCTGCAGAGCCCCACACTGCCAGCCCCCTTTATCTTTTTGGTTACCATCAATTAAAGGTCTTTTCTGTGAAATGCTTAAATTATATGTACCCTGGCAAACCATTAAGCATTACAGGATTAACTGGATGGTTATAATTGTTCATGGAAGCCTTATTACGATACTTTGCCGTAAGGCAAAAATTGGCCCTAGATTGCTGGAGTGACACTCAAAGCAAATGAGAGAGACATTTCTGAAATAACCGTGATTTATCACCCTTGTGCACGCGTCTGTGTTACAGTGCGAGGCTTCGAGACGGAAGAGCTCTTTGAGGAGTTTGTGAGGACGGACCCGGATTCCGGCTCTGTTCTGGCGGCCGTGGTCTTCACGCATGCCTTCTCCCAAGAGGACGAGCCCCTGCCTCTCCAGGTGAGAATGAGACCGCCGCTGCTGATTTGCTGAGTGAAGACGGCAGCTCAAAGCTTACTTTGCTGTGTCCTTAATTACCAAATGTCCCACGTGCTGGAGAGACTTGTTTGTTTACACGATTGCCATCAAATAGAGAGATTCCTGTGAGAGATCAGCCATTTCCATGGCCTGACCTTTATGTTTCTTGACAATTACGGCTTGCAAATAGTGAACTTCTCTGGAAATAGCTTGCTTTTGCTTCCTTGGAATATTCCAGGGTCTCTCTTTAGTGGGAGAGACTTGGTCGCAGTTAAACTCACATTCTGGTTCATTCTAACAACTGAAATCTGAGACACAAGTGGTCAAGTAAGTTGGTGACGTTGCCGTGAGCAGTGCCAACAGACACAAGACTGTACTAACTGTATCACTTACTTTTGCTCAATATCGTCTTTGTGGAAACCAGAATATCTCCATACAGCCGAAGGCAGGAATGATGAGAATGATTTTGATATGCTGCAGGAGCGCACGCAGGCACGCAAAACCAGCAACGGCAAACTTTAGGCCGATTTATTTTTCAAATGGAAAACTAGACAAACAAGATTGACTAGATAAACTTGAAAATATGAACCATCATTTAAAATTGCAGAGCTTGCTAAGTTTTGTTTGCCGTGACAGAGTATAAACGTCTTCGTGTTACTTTTTGGCGGTCTCCACCCGGCAGACTGTCGTGGTCCTCGTGATGTTACGGTTGCACGTGCGTCACATGCCTTGTCCATATTAACATTGCGCAGATCTGTTTTAAGAAGCGTCTCACAAAGCAGTAGCGTGAAATAGCTGAGTGCATAGCGTAGCATGGAAAGAGGCAGGCCCCCCTCCGCCCGCGCTGAGAGACGGGCCCCCCCTCCGCCCGCGCTGAGAGACGGGCCCCCCCTCCGCCCGCGCTCCTGGAAAATCGCAGCCTGGGCGCCTCCTCGCCTTGTCACCTGCTTCCTGTTTTCCTGCAGTTCCCCCCCCCCCCTCCTTCTGCACCTCACACCCGTGGCCCCCTCCCACCCTGGTCCTTCTGTCTCCTCTCCCCAGGTCGATTATCACCTGCGCTTCAAATACAGCCCCCGCAACGCGCCGGCTCGCGAGAAGGTGGAACTGAACCCGAACAGCGACCTGGACTGGCACACCCTCAGCCTCTTCCCGCTGTTCCAGCTGCCCGGCCCCCGCGAGCAGTACGACGCCCATGGGGGCACGCCAGGTGAGCGCCGTCTCCCTGCAGCCTCGCCCGCCATTTTCTCCGTCTGTTTCTGCTGAGGGCCCAGACCACGTTTAGTTCATGTACCTAAACTGATGCTCTCACTCTCCGCCGTGTGCACAAGTGCTATCGCACACCTTTTCTAGTGTTAACACAAGCATCGGAGAGAGGGGCATGTTAGTCACCTCCGGAAAGTAAATGCGGAGAAAACGTTGCCCTGATGCACAGAATTTGTTGTAGGCAAGCAACAAAAATGCTGCTAATGTATGTATGACTGAGATTCTGGATGCAAACTCCAAAAAAGCGCTTGGTCATGTGACTTTCTAAATGCGAGTGGCCATTTGTGCAGCCGTGATCTCCATGGCAACCCTGGAACCGCATTAAAGGTCGACCTCACAGATCACGCTGTTCCACTCCCTCCCAGGGGACCCGGTCCGGCTCGTGTTCCCAGTTTCTCAATCAGGGAATGAAAACGGTCCGACTGGGGCCGTCATTAGGGGCATCAGGCCCTTCAGCGTGGGGCTGGACTGGCATTTTACAAGCAGAGGTGCTCAGACTCCCTCCTGTTGGATGTAGCCAGTCAGTTTGCATGGCGGACGTGAATAGGAGATGTTAATGTAGAAGATTGTTTATTGAAATACCACTTTTTAAAGGGGTATACTCACCATAATCTGAATTTAATATGAATGCTGTAATGCTAAATAATAATATAATATATAATAAACAATACTTTGTTTTTGTGAAAAATAGTACTTTTGCATCACAGCTGATCAGCAGCTGAATTCAGTTCCCGTTCAGGTGTCCTTCTCTTTGCTGGTTTTAGTGCCAGTGATTCATGGGAAAGCGATGATCAGAAATGCATTTTGGAAGATATATACGTCCTGGTAACACGCATGGGGATGAGACGTGTGGGTCATCCGAAGGGTCAGGCTCTGTTTGCCATGCATGTAATGCGATTTCTTCACACACGCCGGGCATCTTGTGGGGGTTAACAAAGTTAGAGCCTTTTAGTGTGGAGCGTTTTAGGGATGAAGGAGCTGGGGTTATAGAAATGGCAAAATAATGAGATTAGCTGACGCCTTGTCTCCGGTTGGGTTGTAAGAGCGCCCCCTGTTGGCTTTGGTCAGGGTACTACAGGGAGGGCTTCCTGGCGGTGCAGCATGCGGTGGACCGGGCCATCATGCGGGCATACAACCGGACGGCGGCGGACGCCCTGCTGCTCCGGACCAGCGTCTTCCTGTCCCGCTTCCCCTTCCCACCTTTCATCTACGACGTCTTCATCCTGGCCATCCAGAACCAGCTACCCCTGCTGCTGGTGCTGAGCTTCACCTACACCTCCCTGAACATCGTCCGCGCCGTGGTGCAAGAGAAGGAGAAAGAGCTCAAGGTGTCTGTCCGAGTCCGTGTCCGTGTCCGTGTCCGTGTCCGTGTCCGAGTCCGTATCCGTGTCCGTGTCTTTATGTCTCTGCGTCTGTATGTGTGCTTGTTTGCGTGATATTTCACTTGTTTATATTCCCCTAAAAAGATGATCTCCAGATGGCCACAGCAGAACCTACCTGTGACTTCATCAGACAGGAAGGTGTTTCGCTATCAGTTAGAAAATGAGTCCCATTGATAACAGGAATGCAAAAACAAACGCGTGTGACCGTCTGTGTGTGTGGCCAGGCGAGGCCGTCTGATGCTGCAATAAGCACAGCTCCTCGGATTCTGTTATCTGTTAATGCTTAACTAACTAGACCTGGTCTCTGTTTGTGTAGGAGCAGAGGACATTGACCCAGCGTGATGTAGACCTTTTTCCTGTCTTAATGATCACATCCTTAAACCTTACACTCATTTTACAGTATATGGGTCATGGTGCAAGAGTTGATTTAGGCAACTGTGGCAGTGCAGTTCTCAGTACTAATCCGGAGAAATATTAAGACTGAATTTCCCATCCACATTTTCTGGTGTAGGGTTAGGCTGAATTACCCAAGATTCAGTTCAGTTCAATTTCCCTGAATTAGACTGTGGCCCAAGTGCGTGATTATAATCGAAATATATCATGATCATGGCTTTTCTAGGCACATCCTGCTTAGTATGTTGTGAGTATTATGGGATAGCGTGTGTGACCCCGCAGTCTCTGCTCTGTTGTCAGGAATACATGAGGATGATGGGCCTGAGCAATGGTCTTCACTGGGCCGCTTGGTTCCTCATGTTCTTCCTCTTCCTCTCCATCTCCATCTTCTTCGTCACGCTGATCTTCTGTATCAAGGTGTGTGGCCGGCCGACATCCCGCCGGAACCTTCCGTTTGTGACGCGTTCCCGCAGGCCATACGGTCTCCGGTCGCCCTTAGTCTCACGGCCGCGCTCACGTCTGCCCCCCTCAGGTCAGCCCCAATGGTGCGGTGTTGAGCTACAGCGACCCTACCTTGGTCTTCGTCTTCCTGCTGTTCTTCGCCGTGGCCACCATCAGCTTCAGCTTCATGATCAGCGTGTTCTTCTCCAGAGGTGAGCGGACGCCGGCTGGGGGGGGCGCACGACGGTCCAGCTTCATCAGGGTCTGTCAGCTCATCAGAAGGTTACGGCACTTTTCCACAGAGCCGTGCCACCAATTGGCACTCTTCCCTGTACAATATGCGAGTCGTACCTGAGCCGTAACCACGGTGACTAAGTCCTGCTGGAAGCGTGACCAAACTGAGCTGGTTGCTTCACCACCATCTGATTGGGCGAAATGCACGGAGATACCAGTGTTCTGCACATGGATTTTTTTGAAGGAAAAAGTGTATACTCCATGTATTATTCATTAATAGTGTCACACATCATGATGTATTGATTAATTCCTGATAACTTGGAACTTCCAACCAACTACAAATTTCCAACCTTCTACATAAAAAGGTGCTTATCAAACAGTTGAATGGAATGGATTCGTAATGCAAATTCACCGAGCGAATGCAAATTCACCACGCCGGCCTTCTGCAATGGATAACTAGCGAGCTTGAGTCGCGCTGTAACTAGTCTCTTTGTGGTACGGCTCAGGTACAGCCTGAGACTCAAGTGTCAGGGTGGTGGGTAGTGCGGCGTAAAAAACAGTGCAAAAGGAAATGGGCTTGGTTACGTCTGCGCCGGTGAAAGCTGCGGGCTGGAGGCCTCTGGGTCTGCCTGGTCGGTTATCGCTCCGCACGCACGCAGGCTCAGCGCCCTGCAGACGTCACAGCCGCGCCTTATCTGCAGGCTGCTGTTTTCTAGTGAGCTGGAGTATGTCCCCGGCCCCCCCCACCCCAGCCCGTGACTTGTTCTTAGCAGAACCGTGTCTGGATGCTCTTTTCAGGTTATTAGGTAGTGGAGCAGCACTTGGGTTCGAGATCCGCGTGGCACGCTGTCTCTCTGAGCAGTAGCTGACACAAAGCTGGCAGCAGAGCCGCCCGTGTGTGTGTGTGTGTGTGTGTGTGTGTGTGTGACCGGTGGGGAGTTAGTTTAAGACTTGTGACTGGTTTCGTTTTTTACTGGAAACCCGCAGCCCTGTTTGTGTTCCCCTGTGCGTTTTGCTGACTCGTCACACAGACTTCAGCTCGGTCTGTCAGGGAAGCCAGGCGGAGGCGGCCGTTAACTGTGTGGAAATCCGTGCAGAGAGCGTCTGAAAGGCAGTAGAACAAAAGCCCTTTGTGAGTGTCAGGAGGAGCGCGATCGCGTTCCTGCACCTTCGTGTAACCTGGGCTGGTGTGGAGGCCTTCCCTCCCGGCACTCTTCAGACGAGTCCTTACAGCCTCCCCCCTCCAAAAAAAGGAGGGGCGCTTGGTCATGTGACTTTCTAAATGCGAGTGTCGCTTTGTGACCAGTTGTGCAGCCGTGTTCTCCATGGCAACCCTGGAAGCGCATTAAAGGTCGACCTCACAGACCACAGACCATCACGGATGTCGACCCGATCCTGCTTTGTGTCCGGGGTGAAGATGGCTGCCCGATCCTGCTTTGTGTCCGGGGTCGTGGCTCATTTCCACCTCTCGAGTCTCACAGGCGTGTGGAAGACGGTGTCGGGGCCTTGGCACGGCAGACGGGGCGTGAGGTGTGACCGTGGCGGGTCAGAGGATCCTGGCAGGGATGCAGCACTTTTATGACGCTGTGTAAAAGCCAGAAAGGAATGGAGCTGATAGCCCGGAGCGGACTGGTTTGTGGTGGCGGGGTGACGCCGGGCCTCTGTATGGGCGAGGCTGACCGACATTTATAGCAGTTTGTTAATAATGTACGATCTGTGTTTCTTGAGTGGCGCTGTGGCCCCTGCATGCGTGGCTGAGGAAAGCCCGTGTGCTCAGCGTTTCCCGGGAGTTCCCAGGCAGACTGTGGCAGTCTGCTTTCTGAATGGCCAGGTCATTTTTGGTACAGCCAATGAAATGCTTGCAGGTTTGTAAATGTTCATAAAAAGCATCTGAGGGCAGAAAAACAATGCATTTTGGGGAAAGGGTGGTACAGAGAGGAGATTAATGGCCCCCCTGAGGAACTTCTCCTTGCTCATTGTCCCTCTATCTGCACCCCCCCAGCCAATGTGGCGGCAGCTGCTGGTGGCTTCATCTACTTCCTGAGCTACATCCCCTACGTGTTCCTGTCGCCACGCTACGACCTTTTGACCCACCCGCAGAAGGTCTCCGCCTGCCTCGTCTCCAACGTCGCCATGGCGATGGGTGCCCAACTGGTGGGCATGTTCGAGGGCAAAGGTGAGAGCCTCCGTGCGGCACGGGGGACGCCGGCTGGCAGGAGATCTCTGATCCCTGCCTGTGTGTTTGGCGCCCACACACACCAGTGACACTACTGCTCAATACGTCTATATGTCTGACGGAGAACTCTGTGTTACAGCATTATTATGTGACGTACAGCAGGGTTCCCCAGTTCCGGTACTGCTGGGCGAGACTGCAACATAATTCAAATATACCTGATTCAGTTCACCAGCGAATTGCCAGGTGTAGTAGGCATGTTGGAGCAGGGAAATCTGCAAGATCAAGCTAGATCAGGGGTGGGCAATCTTATCCGCAAAGGGCCACTGTGTTTGGCGGGTTTTCGCTGAAACTCCCTGATTAGATTACTAATTAGAGGACTGATTGGCTGAAGAGTCCTCACACCTGGGTCTGAACAGCTGACCTAAAGGTCCCCAAAACCTGCACACATGGCCCTTTGTGGATAAGATTGCCCACCCCTCAGCTAGATATTCTGGGCCCCTGACAAAATGTGACCTTACCAGGGTATCCCTGCGTCTCCAATGCCAGAGTGGGCATTTCCTGGCCCTTCGGTGACCCCCCTCTAAGCAGACAGTTCACCGTGGGTCTGACCTCTGGCCTCCAGGGACTGGCATCCAGTGGAGTAACCTCTTTGAGCCGGTGACGGTGGACGACGACTTCTCGCTGGCCCAGGTACTGGGCATGCTGCTGCTGGACGCGCTGCTGTACGGCCTGGTGGCCTGGTACGTGGAGGCCGTCTTCCCTGGGGAGTACGGCGTGCCGCTGCCCTGCTACTTCTTCCTGCTGGTATGTCCCGCACGCCGCTGCCAGTTGGGCCACCTCATCTCTGTAGGCATGATGGGAAAGCCCCCACTCTGGGTGTTACGGGAATGTGTTGCATGAATCAGTTGCTTATATTTCTGTGTCTCCTGCATTTTGGCAGCAAGGTACAGTCACATGTTTTCGCAACAAAGTCTGTGAAGTTTTTAAAATTCCGTGAGAATGTAGGGCGACTCCGCCTGTAAGACCACGACCCCTGACCCTAGCCCTCTGCGATGGGCGCCATGCAGAAGGGCGTACTCTGATTGTCATTCCGAGGATGTGACCCCCCCCCCCCCCCCAGGAGGAAAGCCATAAGTTTTCCCATTACGGAGTTCGAAGGGAACAAGAAGACAATCCCTGAGAGTGACACGCTGACAAGGCCGATGAGGGAACCTTGGGCAAAGCAGGACCAATGACAGTGGGGGTGGGGGGGGGGGGCATTCAGGCCACCCGCCAGGCCTGACACGTGCTTGCGTGAGTGTGGAGTGGAAGGAAATGCTCATCGGGCCAATCAGGAAAGAGCCGCTTATCGTAGCCGGAGCGCTTGGCCGTCGCACTCAGGAAGTGCTCAGAGGACCCCGCCCCCGATCCCCCTTGGAAAAGGGGAGGAGCCACACGGGGTGGGGGGGTAGAGGGGGCTGACCATGCTGACCCTCGTCAGGCTGTCCGCGTATGATTGGGCTCCGTAATCGGACCAGTGCAGGACGCGTTGCACGTCGTCACCATTTCGGATGAATTGGTGGTGGGGGGCTGCAGTGCTGTGGACAGGCGCTTTCTCCTGCTGCCTTATCAGTAGGTGAAGTATGGGGGGGCAGATGCCTGACACTGTGACACGTCGGGGGGCCGTTTGTCAGCCCGCTGTTCTCCTCTGCGGCTCTCCCCTCCCTCCCTTCCTGTCCTCTCCTGCTGTGTACGTTTCCCACACTCCTCATCTGTCGGCTGCCCCCCCCCCCACCCCGCCCTCATTCTCCTTGTGCCGACACCCTTTCCCGAGCCTAACCTCGCACTCATTTTTCCTGCATCCCTCTCTCTTCGCTTGTTTGCACTTTTCCTCGGAAGCAGATCTCTTCCCTCACTCCAGGCACCTGCCTTCATTCATCTGCGGTTCTGCTTCTGGTTTTGAAAGGATAGGCAAGACACCCCCCACCCCGCCATTCCTTATCGAGTTCACTTGTTTATTAATCAGAATATCTCCCAGGCTGGTAACTCGGCTACAGGCGGTATCATACTGTACTGTACAGGATAATAAATAATGAGTAAAAGCGGCAATGCATTCTGGATGCTGCTTACAGAAACGGTCTTGGGCACCGCGGTCCCGCCTGCTTGGCCATAGAGTGTGACCTGGCCCAAGGCGGCTGTGTGTTTATTGTGGCAGTGGTTCTTAAAGAGGAACTGGCAGATCATGTGATTTTACAGAACAGCTGTGATCATGCTCTGTGAAGTTTTCCTGTGTAAGGCATGCGGCAACCATCAAGCACCGTGTGATCTCCCGTCACATGACATCAGTGCTGCAGGACAGTATCCATTCTGGCTGTTACGCCAGTTTAACCGACCTGGACTGTTATAGATCAGCGATGTTTGTTAGGATCCCAGGTAACCTTTCTGCATGGGGTTGAGGGAAATGAGATTTATGGTGAGAGCTGTGTGGATTTTTGTTTTCCTGTAGTGCACTGTCCTTGAGCTTTAAGGTAGCTTTGAAACTTGTCTGTTATAGTGCCACCTTAAGGGTGATTTAGCTGTGGCGCTTTTGGTGAACTTTATTTAAAGTTAAAGCAGCTCTTACTTGAATTGTTACCCCAGTCGTGTTTCTGGTTCATTCTTAGAGAACGTTCAGCTCTCGCAAGAGGATTTCGAATCTCTGGCTCATCAATGCAGCTGAAGTTTCTATTAAATTCATGGATTCCACACTGGAACCCCTCCCCACCCTGCCCCTCCACCTCTGCAGTCGAAACTTGCTGCTGCTCCAGTTCCTTAATGAGCACGCCACCTACTGACCAGTGTCTGAATAGGTGCCGTCGTTCCTCCTTAGCCCTCCTATTGGTGCGGCAGCCCTCGTCTGGCCTCGGTGAAGGAGAAGGAGGAAGAGGAGGATGCAGAGAAGGCTGTGAAGGGCGAGTTCATCGAGGAAGAGCCGTCGGGGCTGGTGTCCGGGATCAAGATCAAGCGCCTGTCTAAGGTGGGGGCCTGGCTGGGGGGGCCGTGTTTGGAGTGACTGCAATCTCAGCCAGCAGGACTAAGGTCATAAAACAGGAATTTGCAAAAGGAAATTGTAAAAACAACCAAAAAGGGGTACAGTTATTCTTCAGTATTACAGTGAGGACACAAGGACCCCAGCCAAAGATGGTTATACACCCTCCCACAAAAACGTAAATAAAACATACAGAAAACTACTTAAATTAAAAACGGGGGCGGGGTTAGTCTGGGTGGAGTGTGGCAAGAACAAAAATACTGATCATATAATTATGGGTGAGAGTGTTGGGCACATGAATCATGGGGTGGATTTTGCAGTGATGTGAAGCGGGTCAGAAAGGGCTACCATCTACTGTGAAATTTCCACCAAATTGCCTTCACTGAATATCTGATCTTCTCCGCCATTAAAAATGACACGATGATGAGTCTTTTCCGCTTGCGTTACAGTATGTTTTGGCAACAGTCGCACGTAACAATGGAATAATAACCGTTGAACTGTGAGATGTACACGCCCACCGTTCTTACGCTGTATGATCTTTACAACTACATTATTAAACTGAGATCATGTATAATTAAATACACTGTGCAGTCCTGCTCGAATGCTTTGCTATGTAATATTTATTTGTCATTGTCTTGTGTCTCTAACTCGTCTCGTTCTGTGTGAAGCCGTTTTTACACTCTCAGACAAACAGTATGGCGTTTCACCGCATGATTGCATATTTAGAAATGACTCCAAAGTTGACTTTCTTTGACTTGTGGAATCCCGGATACTGGAAAGGTGTCCTGTACACATTGGGCAAATGGTTAAGGTTAATCAAGCTGTTTATAAAATTACCATTATCGTTACATTTCAACCTGTACTTTTCGATTATAAAATTAGATTATATAACTTTTAAAATAGTAATATAAAAGTACTGTTGCAAAAGACAATTAAGTTTAATTCATACATGCATGCATCCATCCATGCATCCATCCAGCCACAATCTCTTCGCCAGCGCAGGGTTCGCATGGGTCCCGCTTAGTACATGTCAGCCTGACCTTTCCGCTCCCCCTCCACCAGGTGTTCAAAGCGGGCAACAAAACTCGGGAGGCAGTGAGGGACCTGACCCTCAACATGTTCGAGGGACAGATCAGCGTTCTGCTCGGCCACAACGGGGCTGGCAAGACGAGCACGCTGTCCATGCTGACTGGTGAGGAGTGAGAGGCCTGTGCACGTGCACACGCACACGCACACGCACACGCACACAGGCATGCATGCCTGTAAAAAAGGCATTGCACATAAATGTTCGCATTCCTATGACACTGTGTCCTCCCTGTAGGCCTCTTTCCCCCCACCAGGGGGCGCGCCTACATCAATGGCTATGACATCTGCCAGGACATGGCGCTGGTACGCCGCAGCCTGGGCCTGTGTCCGCAGCATGACGTGCTTTTCGACAACCTCACCGTGCAGGAGCACCTGCTCTTCTATGCCCAGGTGAGTGCCCCCTGCTGGCTGGCTCTCGCCAGCGCATGCCCGTCCGCCCACACACCATCTCTTAGGCTTTGCTTTCACATGCTCTGCTTTCGCAGCTGAAGGGCTTCCCCCGTCAGAACATCCCCGAGGAGGTGGACCGGACTATCCGCATCCTCAACCTGGAGGACAAGCGGCACGCCCGCTCCAAGACGCTCTCCGGGGGGATGAAGCGCAAGCTGTCCATCGGCATCGCCCTCATCGGCGATTCCAAGGTTGGCCGCTCGTGCTCCGCAGGGCTTCCCTGCGTGGCTCATGCTAGCTCCTTGGAGGGTGAGCCGGCTGTTTCCGGTCGCTGTGGTCATGCCGTGGTCACCGTTCTGGCCGCAGGTGGTGATGTTGGATGAGCCCACGTCGGGCATGGACCCCTCGGCACGCCGGGCCACGTGGGACCTGCTGCAGGGCCAGAAGCGCGGCCGCACCATCCTGCTGACCACCCACTTCATGGACGAGGCCGACCTGCTGGGCGACCGCATCGCCATCATGGCCAACGGGGAGCTGCAGTGCTGCGGATCGCCGCTCTTCCTGAAGAACAAATATGGTGAGAGAGGGCAACTGGGCCGGGGAGGGGGCACGTGGGCAACTGGGCCGGGGAGGGGGCACGTGGGCAACTGGGCCGGGGAGGGGGCATGTGGGCAACTGGGCCCGGGGAATGAAATCCCAGCATTGGCAGGAGAGACCTTTGGGCCCCTGAGTGAGGCCCCTAACATTGCTTATGGGGCCCTGCTCTCTCTAACAATGTACGTCACTTTGGATAAACGCATCTGCTAAATAAATAAAATGTCGCGTGAAGATATAAGGATCCCGAAGGCCGTGATTGGACGTGTAAGATAATGGCAGGGCATGTGCCTGACCTCCTCGTATCACAGGTGCTGGCTACCACATGGTGATAGTGAAGGGTGAGATGTGCAACGTATCGGAGATCAGCCAGCTGGTCCACATGTACGTGCCCAACGCCACGCTGGAGAGCAGTGCCGGTGCAGAGCTCTCCTACATCTTACCCAAGGAGAGCACCAGCCGGTAAGGCCACCGGGCACCGCCCAGGGGGTGCCAGCGAGCTGGCGGAGAGCCGGGTCCTGACGGCCGCCTTGCCTGTCTCCTGCCAGGTTTGAGTTGCTGTTTGCGGAGCTGGAGATGAACCGAGAGGAGCTGGGTATCGCCAGCTACGGAGCCTCTGTCACCACCATGGAAGAGGTTTTCCTCAGGTCTGCATCTATGCTCTTAAACCTTGTGGGATTTGAACCCATAACGCGTCAGTTAGTCCAGTCTGACAGTCGCAGCATCGAGGCATTGTGGGATATCCCAGCTGAGATGTTTGTGACTGCCCTTCATGGTGTTCTACTGCTGGTGTTTGGTGTTAAACGTGTGGCTCACGGCACGCACAGGCCTACGTCTGACCCCATTCTCATTTGAACCCGTGTCTGAGCCCTTTACTCCTTCCTTTGTATTCTCCACCCCTGGCTCGAACCCTGAGCCGTTCAGGGCGTGTGTCCCATGTGAGCCCCACCTCTGTGTGACTCCCGTGGGGGCGCTCTCACAGCTCTGACCTGTGCGGTAAAAGCACAGGCTGTGCTCATCGTCCCTGGTTTCCTTGCTGTCTTGTTGCTTCACCCAGAGCTTCATTTTCAAGCACCAGGCAAAAGGGGGGCAGGTGGCCTGGGACTCATGTGTCTATGCAGTCCTCCTTCCTGGGGGCTGTGTTTTAAACCCCCCCCCCCCCCACACACAATTTTTGGAAAACTGCCCTTATATGGTGGAATTTATAAAACGAGGTGCTGCTGCTATTTAAGTGAGCAAAGGAGGTCTTTCTGTCCTGTTCATTGTTCCTTTTTGGACATTAAGGGCTGATCCTCACTGGTTACAGTGTTTGCACAAACTGCATTTTTTCCCACGGTCAGCATGGTGCAGCCATTATTAGTGTCAAATGAGGAAGATGATGACCCCTGAACTCCACTGAACACTCGTTGAAGGGTTATGTGTGTCTGTGTGCGTGCGCCTGTCTTCTCGCAGGGTGGGGAAGCTGGTCGACTCCAGCCTGGACATTGAGGCCATCCAGCTGCCGCCGCTGCAGTACCAACACGAGCGCAGGTCACATGACTGGTCCATGGACGACGGCAGCAGCATCAGCAGCCTCACCGACGTGACGGACTTCACCGACAGTGGGACTCTCATCCTGGAGGACTGCTCCAACATCAAGCTCAATGCAGGGGTGAGCTCTCTGG